AAGGGACACTAGGCAGTTTTGTATGCTTTTAACACCCCCTACTCTCTTTAACACCTACATCTAACTGCTGAAATGTCTCCTCAGCTTTCATTAGTTTCTAGTGGAGCAGTTTATCATTACATCAAACAAATTGGCGGTGTTCATGACCTAAAACATGCAGGAAACGTGCTGGAACCAGACCCCAGCTCCACCATGTCGGCTCCACTCCACAGCTCCCTCCACAGCAGGATCCGGACCGGCAACTCTAAAGTTGCAAGTGTGATATTCTGGCCCCATAGGCAAAGAGGTCGGAGTGACTCTTCATTAACATTTTAGCACATACTGGCTCAAGAAAATGAAAAATATGAAAAGGTTGCATAATATCTCTTTAAAGTGACAGTGTGTAGTTTCCCTGGCAATAGGGGGCAGCACATACCTAAATGATTGCAAGCAAGCATTAGTTTTCTGTTCATGTAAGACCTTACCAACGGACGGCTATTAGTGCCAAAAATCCCTCGAAGCACAACCTCCAGCAAAATAACAAGAACATCAGACTGATTTCATCACTGGCAACGAGTGAAGAGGTAAATGTGTAAAACAACGTTTATTATGGTGAAAGTTTTGTGACCATTTGTTACTAATCAGCATTTTGTCCTCACGGGCTTCCGTAGAAGGAAACATGTCATCCAGTATGGCATCGCCCAGAGACTTATAGACCCGCTCCCATGTATTTTAGGACACATTTCTATTGCTATATGTTATGAAACTGCCAATATTTTTCAGCAACTGAAAGTAACTTTAAAAATGCTTAAATTAAATGTGACTATGACTCTGTTTCATGAAATAAAGTAGGTACTTTTTGAGAATTTATAATACCTCTAAGTCCCTCGCTTGCCTCTACAGCAAAACGTCATTTAAGTGAGAGTAATGTTAAAGTTAAAGTCTCATAGTCATCATCACACACTGGTTAAATTCATCTCTGCATTTGACTCATCCCCGTGTGGAAATTTTTGGTGGTTTAACCCCCCAATCCAACCCCTGAGCTGAGTGTCAAGCAGGGAGGCTTTGGGTCCCATTTTAAAGTCTTTGATACGACCTGATGGTTTTTGAACCATGACCTCCCAGTCGCACGGCGGACACTCTACCACTAGGCCACTGAGCTGCGAAAAGCAAAAATCCACAAGAGGGAGCTGTCAATCAGTGAAAATGCACCTCATTTGTGTATTAGAGCTAAGCGCTTAGCTAGCGTTCAACCTTACGCTACATCTGACAACAGGGCTTGTGCTCGTGGCGCCATCACCAACTAAAGTGAGTGATGAGCAGCTCCTGCAGGACAGATGAAGGCTGAGGAGATAATTCAGTGGGTAGAATCAGGTGTGTCTGAGCAGGAACATATAAAACATGTTACTTGTCCGTTAGCGCTACGAGGCTATTTGTGTGCGTGTGCAGAATGAGGCGTGGTTTTCAGCTTCTTCCAGGAGCGGGGTACTAGGGGCGAGAGCTATAAACGTCCACATTTCTAAATCTCCTCCTCCTTTACATTGTGGATCAGATGAGTCTCATCAGTCTGTTTCTATGTGAATGTTCAAGACAAATTCTCTATAACCTTAGTGGTGTTAGACAGCTCTCTCTCTCTGTGTGTGTGTGTGTGTGTGTGTGTGTGTGTGTGTGTGTGTGTGTGTGTGTGTGTGTGTGTGTGTGTGTGTGTGTGTGTGTGTGTTGATCACATTTCTATGATGTAAAGTGTAACAAAATCTAAGAAGAAAGATAAAATTAGGTATTAAAGATAGAAACGAGTTTTAGATTTGTGTCTTGCTTTGCCACAATACCCTTGAGCTTTCAAATGTATATTTTTAAAGTCTTTCACAACTGACAGACCACTTTCTGGCACATCATAATAAAAAAATGCTGTGTACACTGATTTATAAACAGAGAGGAGGCAGCAGCTCGGACTGTAGAGAGCATTCTCAGATCATCTTTGGAAGCTGAAACGGCTTAATTACTGCATGAATCCCATGAAAAAGATTAATGTGAGCATCATGTGTTATACTTGCAAATGTTTATTGTTTAAATAGACAACAGATGACAACAAGAATGTCCTTTAACCCTCTGGAGGCAGGCGTTGCAGATTTGCAACGTTAAAACCTGCCTACCTGGTTACTCCACATACGTATTTCATGAGCGTTTTTTAACTCAGAAGTTCTCCTGAAGGACTTAGTTGTTCGTCCTTTTCTCCAAACTTATTTTGAGCCTGAGAGGGTTAAGAGAGAAGATGACACAAAGTCTGCAGAAACACTGATTATCTTTGTGGTGAAAAGCTCCACATCCAAGGAAAGTCAGGGTTAAACGGCCGGTTTTGTAAACAGAAAACATCTCAGATTCTTTCAAATAGCTGAGAATCCCATTATTTTTCCCATAGAGACTTTTTTTTATTCCTAAATTGCTCCTGGTTCTCCCCGTTTCTGCCTCTGCTGTGTTTCCCAAGTTACACTTATCCTGTGTGGGTGGGTGTATGAATGCGTGCATACGTCTGACCTCTTCAGACTCTGTGGGACTGCACGCTTGCCCTCTTAAAGTAGATTAGCTTGCAAAAGAACGGCACGCACGTTGTTGCCTGGATACAAAAAGCATCATTAAGCACAATTATCAGCCACTTCAGCTCACAACAAACAAGCTTCATCGCAGATTTCAAAACAACACATCACAGAGGATGGCAGCCTATGGTGAGCTCAGCGGCCGGGACGGTTAAAGATGTCAGAAGACAAGATGGAACGCTGAGTAGAGATAAATGAAATGATGGCTAGATGGTCTCAGGAATGACATCACTGGTGCTCTCATTAAACTGAGATTAGCACAGGCAATGGAGGGGGAGGGGGGGGGGCATTCTGAAAAGAAGAAAAAGAGAAAGAAACAAACAAAATGTCCTGTTTCTCCTTTTCCTCAGTCAGCCGAGATGACCGCGGGGAGCATTTGATAAAGAAAACTGAGTTTGGACAAGAAACTGCACAATCCCAGATATAAGGCGGCCCCACTGATCCATCCTAATTATTCTGTGCATTTCCCTGAAGGTGCTTTGGGCCGTGAATTAAAGAGAGCAGCGTTCCTATCAAATATACCATCCAGAGGGAGACATGAAAGGGAGCGGGGGTGGGGATTCGGGGACAGAGTCATCTGCTTTAATTTTAGGACCAACTTTGGAAAGTTTTATTCCACACAAAACTGGTGAAACACTGACGGCTTTCCCCGTCGTCCCTCACACCAACCATCTTTAAATGTAAGAATGGATGATGTGACTCCATAAACTTCTGCTGTGCAAATGCTAGGCTAACATTTCCCATTGTAAGTGCTGCCATCTTGCATTTTGGAGGCCATAATCCAGGCTATTATGATCCTAAATTACAATAATTTGGGACAAATTATGGTTTCAAATTACTCACATACATAAATATGTTTTCTTGAGCATCAAATAGCTAATTAAAGAAAACGAAAAGAAAAACTAATTTGACGTTAAACTCAAATTTCTACTTTTTCTCAGAATTTAGATTTTAATATTAAAATTCAGATTTTTTCACAAACTTCTAATTTTAATCTCAGAATTTTGACTTTAATCTCAAAATTCAGACTTTTTTCTCAGAATTCTGGCTTTAATCCCAAAATTCTGACTCTTCCTCATAACCGAGTTTAGTCCCAGAATTCTGACTTTTTTTCTCAGAATTCTGACTTTAATCCCAAAATTCTGACTCTTCCTCAACTGAGTTTAGTTCCAGAATTCTGACTTTAATCCCAAAATTCTGACTCTTCCTCATAACTGAGTTTAGTTCCACAATTCTGACTTTAATCTCAAAATTCTGACTTTCTTTCTGATAATTCTGACTTTAATCTCAAAATTCTGACTCTGGCATCTGAGAAAAACATCAGAATTTTGAGATTAAAGTCAGCAGCTCAAGAGTTACAGCGAGTTGCCTAGTGATTAAAGGATTGTGGGATCAATCCCAGTTCCTGCCAGGGTACTCTGCCGTTGTGTCCTTGAGCAAGACACTTCACCAAACTTACTCGTTGATAAAATCTTTTACTGACATTAAACAGGTGCTTAAATTTGTTTTAGTATGAGAAGCTTATGGTTTTATGCAAAACACTAATTACTTCAAACTTGTAACAAGGGAAATATCCTGCATCCCCTTTAGAAAACTTTTATTGTTTACTATTGTCTCTTCTGCACAAAACACTAACGCTCACATACTGAACATGCGGTTCAAATAGCTTGTAGAGAGCAAATATTTTACATCTCCCCAGAGCCGTCTGCATGTGGGTGGGGTGGGGGGTGGGGGGGCATGTAGGCTATATGGGGCACGGTGAAATGAACAATGACAAAGAAAAAAAAAGAGAAGAGGAAGACGAAAAGAGTGCAGGGTTAGCAGATAGGAGCTAAGTCTGCTCACACTCCTGCAAGATGAAAAGTGTGTGCTGACCTTTTGCTTTCATTCTAGTCACGGTCATTTCTGTCTTTCCTTTGAAGTCTCTCTCTGCTGTCGTAGATGAAGTCAAGACACAAGAACGGCCTGAACTAAATACTAATCAGCCCGTCTCCCTTCCTGACTCAAAAACTTTCACCAACAGAGACTGCAAATGTCTTCACAACACACACACACACACACACACACACACACACACACACACACACACACACACACACACACACACACACACACTGCAGTCACATGTGCGGAACATTATGAACAGCAGAGGGAGATTGGCTCAGTCGTCATTGTGGAAGCCGATTATGAGGAGTTTAATTTCATCAGATAAGTACGGTTTCATTTATGAGCAGAAGCTGCTGCAGGCAGGAAGCCTGGCAGGCAATCCAGTTAGACAAGTGCGCCCCCTGCTGGAGGTCATGCTCTACTCCTTTGTGCTCAGCTGGTTCCTGAAGTCTGTCACGCTTCATGGATGTCCTTTCAATGGGGTCTGATGTTAAAGTTTGTTTTTTAATATCTTCTCCCCCTTCCCTGTCCGGATGTCAGCCAGGATGTCCGGGATGGATGGACTGCTGGTGGATCATAATGAGACTGGAATCACTCCCATAGACAACGGGGCTTTTCTACGTTTCTCCCCAACGTCTGCCTCCACGTCGGCGGCCGCCTCCTCTCCAGTACACCAGGGCAACGTCTACGTGTATGTGTGGCTCTTCCTAGGTCTGCTGGTGTTGCTGCTGACACTGCTCATCATCTCCCTCCACAGGCTGAAGAACATCATCTCCTCTTCCTCGTCTGTCCCCGACTGCAGCAGCGAGGGAGGAAGTTCCTTCACCAACATGGAGATCTGCAGCATCTCATCCACTGTCTCAGCACTCTCCACCTGAGACAGATTGGACTCTAGTCTCGCACGTCTAGGGGCTGTTCTTCATGCATCCTTAAATGCAAGTTGAGAACGAGCATGTGCACACATGAGCACTCAAAAAACGTCAGCCACAGCTTAGCTGACGTTATTTGCATATATTCATTAAAGGTGCAAATATTCTGTGCACCACCCGGGGTGTAAAGCTCACAATGTGAAGAGAGGGAACACCTGAACTTCAATAATGAGACAAATAAACCTGATGGCTTGTCCTCCTAATGCAGGGAAACATATTATAAAACTACAGCGATTATATTTTATCCTGTGAGTTTTACTGTACTTACATTAAGATGTAACACAGTTTTAAAGTGAATTTGTGTACATAATGTCTAATCTCTGCAGAATATGATACTTTAAAGAGCATCACGTTGTACAGATGCATGCACCACATATGAAACTTTTAACTGTGAACATGTCAAACTGGTTCCACGTCACCCAGAGTCTGAAGAAGGAGAACGGACTTAGTGCTGTTATGGAGTTGAGAAATCTGGCGTTTGACAGACAGGCAGCCTTTGTTGTTGTCTCTGAGAGACAAATCTACCAGCATCACTTTCTCTTGTGTGTGAATTTATGTAGCATCTGATCCAGGAGGTTTTTTTTCTGAAGCTTCCCAGCAAGTTTGGAATTGAGGAAAATGCCAAAATGAAGATTGCTGCTCCTCATCTACAAGAAGTATTCAGATGGCATGGCAAAGTATATTAAAATATATATGTTGCATTCTTTACTTTCTTTTCTTCAAATTTAGCATTTGCACCAATTATTCGTGTTTGTATCCTTAAGCTGGACAGTTACTCAAAAGACCTGGCTTCCAAGAAGGAAGGCTAGTGAAATCTAAGAAGAAACATGGCTAGTAAATACTCTGTGTGTTTGTTTTAAGATGCTGCAGAAAAAATGATATGTGGACAAATCCCCACAAAGAACTCTTGCAGTGTGGAATATGAATTATCTATCATTCTGATGAAAGATGGAACAATAAAAACTTCTGCAACAAGCAGTGAGGTCCACAAGGGAGAGCGGGGGGATGTGGCCCCCCCCCCCCCCCCCCCCCCATAGACACCCAACTCAATGAATCAATATCGAATACATATACACACACTCTAAATATTAATGAAAAATGAAATTGAATAGATATGTAATGAACTTTTTTCATATTTTAGACACATTTTGAATTGAAATTGAAGTGAAAGCATTTCAATATATTTAGGGAGGTGCTATACAATAACCTCCACAAAAATGATTGCGAGACACACACACACACACACACACACACACACACACACACACAAGTATCAATCTCAATCATTTTTGTCGAGGTTATTGTTCAGACAGCAAATCGCAAAGCAAAAGGTTCTAAAACTCTAAAAAAATTTGACAAAAACTTCATTAACTTTACTAAATTTTGTCCTTTTACTGAACAACTTGCTTCTCAAGTTTGGGGTAAATCTGTTGGATGTATATTGGTTGTTAAAGGGGCTCTAAGGAAGTTTGAAGTTTTTATGCTCGCGATCGCCACTCAGGCCTAACACGTAACTGCAACTTCAAAAGTAAACTCGTGCATGAGGTGTGCATGCTGTACGTGCATACTCAACGAAAATAACAGCTGAGAAAGTCCAGTGTGTGTGTGTGGCCCGGAGGACAGAAGAACACAGCAAATTAATAAGAATAATGTGCCCCTGTCTCTGCAGCTTCACTTTCTGGTCGACCGGCCGAACGTGCAGTGTATGTGTGGCCTGGAGGACAGGAGAACACGCAACTAATTAATTAAATAATTTGGTTCTGTACCTTTCTCTTCAGCACAGCCGACAAAGGTTTAAGATGGGTCAGTCCTCCTGCATGTTCAGATCATTCCCTTCCCTTGCTTGAAAAATTGTTCCAAAATGAAAGTTGAACCCACATCTTTTTTATCCGTGAATTCAATGCCGTTCGGCGAGTCTCAAATAAAAATTTGGGCGTCTTTTTACTGTAAAAAAAATATACCATTAATGTAAAAAAGAAACTCCAAATAAATTATGATCACACCTGGAATGGAATCCAGGTCTTCTGCATGAAAGTCAGACATCTTACTAGGTGAGCTAAAGCGCCAGTGACGTTCCACCTATCTGTAACATTTATATCTTTGATGACAGCTGAAAACACGTCAATCCAAAGAATGGTTCGGAGCGAAAATGGCTATTTTGTTGCTAATTTGCAGGAAATATCTAGAAGAAAGTTCTACAGAAAGTAGCTAAAGGTCCTCAGAAATGTAGCTAGCTTTGTCACTAGGCGTTAGGAACAGCGACAAAGTCGCTGAGTTGGCACTACCTAACTCTCTGCAGCTAAAGCTACTGATAGCAAATGCTACGGGCTATGCCTGAGCGTGAACGCGCATGAAGCAGCCTGCCCGACCCGAGCAGCTCTCTTTTTCTGTGATTTTACAGAAAAACAGGCAATCACAGTAAAAATGCCAGGGCTCATTCTACAGGACCAGGGCATTGCAGGAGAATGCATGAAGAAGAAATTTATTATATCTATACATGTTTTGGCTGACAAACTTCCGTAGAGTCCCTTTAAAATAAGTTACCACAAGAACCAACTTGGCGTGTCACCCCAACCTTTTCTCTGCCCCCCCCCCCCCCCCACGCCCCCAAGTCATTTTTCTGGGACCGCCACTGGCAATAAGACCTTAATGCTTCTTCGCTAACGAGGCAAATAGCAGAAAATGATTAAATGTTCAGACCTCAAATTCTTTGCATATTTTATTTTTCTTATGATTTTTTTTCCAACTCACACATGTCATATTTTACATCTTTGCAATAAAACATGAATACAATAGTTTTTAGGGTTTCATAGATCCAAAAATATTTAACCTTTTTTTTTTTTGGATACGTAAGTTGAACCTGTCAGAGTATGTGCATGTTTGATCGTGATGGCTTCACACATACAGTAACGTCTCTCACCTGTCATCCTCCCTCCTCCCCAGGCCTCTATCAGCTACAGAATCATGATATTGCTTACAACTGTGAGGTTGTAAAACTTAGAGTCACACATGAGCTCAACGGTTTAAATACAAACATCAATGCACAAATAACCCCAAAGGGGAATGGACCTAAACGAAAAGGCAGCCGACCAGAAAGAACCAAGCTAATAAATAATGATATGTGATTGGTGCAAAGTGCAAATACAAAACAAACTTTTACATTGAGCTGATTCTCTCTTTTTTCTTAAATAACCAACAAATGTGTGTAAGTAAAGTTTTCCTTTGCTCTTTCGGTCTCATTCAGCTGAGTAAGTATCCCGCCGAGCCTCAACCTAGATTATATGTACATATTTGACAAAAACAATCACTAAATATACAAAGAAAATCTTGTGTTCATCCTCCTTGGTGGCAAGATCTCCGTATTGTTGTCACCAGTTTAAAAAAAAACATAATGAAAAAACATCATTCTTGATGCCACCGCCGTTACCATCAGTCTGGTCAATGTTATATTAATTATTACACAATATTTTACATACAGCAAGTCATTAATAAATTAAAGGTGATAAGCGTAGTTTGTGTAGTGAAATAAAGTGTGACTGAAGGAAGCAGAGTCTTATTTACACAAAATTCTGGTTTAATCCCACTGTGGATCAAAAAAAAAAAAAAGAAAAGAAAAAATGATTTGAAATGAACCCGAGCTGATCGAATCAAACAAGACAACATGAAACTAAAACTCAAGGGGAGTTTTTAAGAGTGAATTTAAGATCGAGCCAATAGCACCGGTTTTTAAATACGGGGTAGGGCTGGTGCATTTGTGACCGCTTCTGAATATAGTACATCCATCTGGAATTTAAAGTCCAACCAAACAATTAGAAAAAATGAAATGAGAAAAAAGAAAAGGGAAAACAGGAATTAGTTTTCCCCTCTGTGAAGGAGCAGCAGTTTCAGCCGTCCTGTGAGCGGTGCATGTATGTCCACCTCCTCTTTGTCCCCACGCTGCGATCTTTGTGTTTTATTAGCGAGGTTTGGTGCGTGTCTTCTGGGTTTTATGGGTCACACTCGTGCTCAGAGGAAGCTGCTTCCACCTGCACTGTAACACCCTCAGTCCAAGGGAAGAAGAGTCTAAGGTCCGGTACTAATTCATCTTCGTCTCGGTACCTGTTGTTTCCCCCGTGCTGCAGACACACGGCACAGCGTATCACCTCCTCGCTCCGTCCTCCTCTCCTTCTTGCCTTCCGCCTCAGTACCTGTTCTGGTGCTCGTAGTGCCAGCGGTTGAAGTCGATGTTGAATGCCACGATGCTGCCAGAGGCCATTCCGGTGATTAGAGTCCTGCAAGGAAAACGCACAGAAAATAAAATTGGATTTGAAATCCAAGCCAACAAAATGAAAAATAAACCGACCCAATCTGCCTCTACAACTAAATCCAATCTACTTCAAAGTCAGTGGATATGCTGGTGAGAAGCTGAGGAAGTGCAATGATGAATTAAGAGTGCACTTGGATGAGAAGAAGGTTTTTAGCAGTGTTGCCAACTTAGCGACTTTGTCACCATTTCTAACGACTTTTCAGACCCCCTTAACGACTTTTTTCCAAAAAAGCGCCTAGCCACAAATCTGGCGACATTTCTGACCCCCCTCAGCTACTTTGACTACAACTTTGTAGCCAACTTTACCTGCAGATTAGAGATGCATCTGAAGCAACAGGACCGTCCTTCCTTCCAGAGGATCAGAAAGAAAATGATCTGCGCATGTGTATGCAGCATGATCACGCTACCCCCATTGACCAATCAAACCTTTTGTGGGTTTTCACAAGTCCATTATTTGAGATAGCCACCGGAGCTACATAAAGGTTGACCGCTCCTTCCTCCATCCTGCCGCATTTTGGCAGCTGAGCTCGGCTGGCAGTGGTTGGCAGCGTCGCACTCACCCATGGCTTCTCGCACCGCTTGTGGTGCATTCAAGGAACATTGGAACTCTATGATGACTTCAATAACGTAGCACATTTAAAACTTTTGTACAAAACAGAATAATACTGTAAGACAAACACCTCAGGTCATTGGCAGTTTGCATGCAATATTTCTGAATACTAAATACGGCCTGCTTCTTTTTACACAAAAGTACTAAAAACGACAAAACCAAACAAAAACTATATATATTTATATATATAAATACTAAAATACTAGGATTCCTAATGTTTTAATTCACTGCGTCACCAACTAACGTAGGAGGGAACGTGTGAGTGAGTCACCACAGTTGGAAGCCCAACTTGCTGTGAGCAAGGATCTGTGGCTGATGAGCGAAAACAAAAACATAAACTTTCTGGACTGAAGCTCCGTCAACATCGGCTGGCGACCGCGATGCGGCTGCATTTCTAAATAAAGCATGTCATTTTGGCGGCGCGCGCAGCTGCAGCTCACGGTTCTGGGAGAAAGAAGCGGGTGCGCCTGTCCCATCAACAGCAGGTGGAGCTCACCGCTCCTCCCAACTCACTACCAGAGAGGAAAAAACCCATCGGCTTGGATTATACAGATGGGATTTTGTCCCATCTTGTGGTGAGAAACCTAAATTTAAACAATTTTAAGTGATTTAAACATTTTTTACCCATGTACCTGAGCTTTAAATCAGCTGTGCCCTTCCAAATAAAGGCTTTTCCTTCTGTTACTGCAAGATAGATGGGTGGGCGCAAAAAATACTTTTCTTTTGACATCAGGACACTCAGTGGCAGAAAATTTGATCACACCAACAAATACAGGTGCTGGCCAGTAAATTAGAATATCATCAAAAGGTTGAAAATATTTCAGTAATTCCATTCAAAACGTGAAACTTGTACATTATATTCATGCAATGCACACAGACCAATGTATTTCCAATGTTCATTACATTTAAATTTGATATTCATAAGTGACAACTAATGAAAACTCCAAATTTGGTATCTCAAAAAATTAGAATATTCTGAAAAGGCTGAATATAGAAGACACCTGCTGCCACTCTAATCAGCTGATTTACTCAAAACACCTGCAAAGGCCTTTAAAAGGTCCCTCAGTCTTGTTTTGAAGGCACCACAATCATGGGGAAGACTTCTGACTTAACAGCTGTCCAAAAGACAATCATTGACACCTTGCACAAGGAGGGCAAGACACAAAAGGTGATTGCTAAAGAAGCTGGCTGTTCGCAGAGCTCTGTGTCCAAGCACATTAACAGACAGGCGAAGGGACGGAAAAAATGTGGTAGAAAAAAGTGTACAAGCTCTAGGGATAACCGCACCCTGCAGAGAATTGTGACGACAAACCCATTCAAAAATGTGGGGGAGATCCACAAAGAGTGGACTGCAGCTGGAGTCAGCGCTTCAAGAACCACCACGAGGAGACTCATGAAAGACATGGGATTCAGGTGTCGCATTCCGTGTGTCAAGCCACTCTTGAACATGAAACAGCGCAAGAAGCGTCTCGCCTGGGCCAAGGACAAAAAGGACTGGACTGATGCTGAGTGGTCCAAAGTTATGTTTTCTGATGAAAGCAAGTTCTGCATTTCCTTTGGAAATCAAGGACCCAGAGTCTGGAGGAAGAGCGGAGAAGCACAGAATCCACGTTGCATGAGGTCCAGTGTAAAGTTTCCACCGTCAGTGATGGTGTGGGGTGCCATGTCATCTGCCGGTGTTGGCCCACTCTGTTTCCTGAGGTCCAGGGTCAATGCAGCCGTCTACCAGGAAGTTTTAGAGCACTTCATGCTTCCTGCTGCTGACCAACTTTATGGGGATGCAGACTTCACCTTTCAACAGGACTTGGCACCTGCACACAGTGCCAAAACCACCAGCACCTGGTTCAAGGACCATGGTATCCCTGTCCTTGATTGGCCAGCAAACTCGCCTGACCTTAACCCCATAGAAAATCTATGGGGTATTGTGAAGCGGAGGATGCAATACGCTAGACCCAACAATGCAGAGGAGCTGAAGACGACTATCAGAGCAACCTGGGCTCTCATAACACCTGAGCAGTGCCACAGACTGATCGAGTCCATGCCACGCCGCATTACTGCAGTTATTGAGGCAAAAGGAGCCCCGACTAAGTATTGAGTGCTATACATGCACATTCTTTTCATGTTCATTCTTTTCAGTTGGCCAACATTAGAGAAACAAACATTTTTTCATTGGCCTTTAGAATATTCTAATTTTCTGAGATACCAGATTTGATGTTTTCATTGGTTGTCACCTATAAATATCAAATTTAAATGTAATGAACATTGGAAATACATTGGTCTGTGTGCATTGCATGAATATAATGTACAAGTTTCACGTTTTGAATGGAATTACTGAAATATTTTCAACCTTTTGATGATATTCTAATTTACTGGCCAGCACCTGTAATCAAAATAAAAGCACAAGCTGCTCTGATTTGTTTTTAGCCGAATCTGTGTTTTTATCCTCCAATGTAAGCAAAAGAAACATTTTGTTGTTTATTTTATCTTTTAGTTTTGTTTCTGGTAAATTAAAGCTGTTGCTGTGTTGGGCAGCTACCACCAGGTGATGCTGCAGCCCCAGCAGCAGCTTCCATCTACCACTAAATGCTTACATCTTGCTCCATTTTAACTTTGACCCATAAAAGAGAAATATTTCTTTTCTTAGCTTGAATTTCTGCACCTGTCCCTAGACATCACCATACATTCAGATTAAGACGTTCCAGCTGGTCCGTACCTCTGGTCATGTGAGAGGTCCATGGCACGGATGCCGGCGTCACAGCCTGGATAGATGTAAAGCTGTTTGAAGTCACATGCCTGCCACACCTCCACAACGCCGTTATCACCTCCTGTCACCAGGTTCTGGCCATCACTACTCAACAAGATAGCCTGCAGAGGGATGCAGTAGAGGAGTTAAAGAGCAGCACCATTAGAAGATGTTCACATCAGCAGTATCTGTATCTGCCTCACCCGCGTAGAATCATTGACCTCCATTTGTGCAAGCAGTTTTCCATTTATGCTGAAGTTGCAAAAGCGACCTCTTTCGTAATAGATGATGCAATGTCCCTCGCTGGATACGGAGATGAGGCGGGGCCGTTGGCACAGTTCTGGACCCTCCAAGGCCCTCAGCAAGTCTCCTGTGATGGTGTGAACCAGGCATGGGCCCTCTGAGGAACAAGGCAGTATAGAAATGTTTGTTTGTCTCAGCAAGGCTAAGTGTTTTCCTATAATGTTGAAATGAATACAAACCTTTGGCTCCACTGATAACCAATCCCAGCTCCGCACAGACAGACACACACACCACCTCATGGTCGTGTCCTGTCAGCACGGCCCTGGGAGCCGGGTAGTCACCTGAAGGACAAGACGAGTCATAGAAGCAAGACAACAGCCAGAGACACACAGACATGTCCAATGTAGGGTCACTCACTGTTGTTGGGATTGTCCCCTATTATGTGGTGTCGCCCACTCCAGTACCACAGAAGAAGAGTTGCATCTCTGGAGCCCGACACTATGTAGCAGTCTCCTCCGATGTAGGACTCTGACCGGGCCAGGCACGTCACCACATCCCAGTGGCCAAAAACGATCTGGGTCAGCTTTCCTGTGGAGAGGAAGGGGAGGTATTCATGATCGATGCATGAAGGTCACAGCTTCTCACAATTCGTTCAACCTGTTGACTTCTAAAGACAAACATAATTCTGCTAGGAAGAGATCATTGGTGAACCTACAATGAAAGCACACAAAAAAAACGACTAACCGGTTTCAGTGGAGTAAACTCGGAAGCTTTTGTCCCAGAAGCCACAGACCAGGATATAACGGTTGTCCGCGGTAACCACAAAACAGTGTGTGTTGATCTGGATGCTCTGGTCCACCAGGTCAGTGATCTGTCGCTTGTTCACACCTGAGTTATTTGCTACACAGGAACACAAAGTATAAACTAATAATGAAGGCAAACCGTTTCACCCTGGCTATGTTTAGCTGACCTTAAGCTTATTTTAAAGCTGGGGTACAAAAATTACACATTTTAAAGTAACTTAAAAATGCAGTGACCTGCAGTGATCTATATGTTCCTAACCGAGCACTTCGCTCTCAGACTGCAGGTTTACTGGTGGTTCCCAGAATATCTAAAATAGGATGGGAGGCAGATCTTTTGGTTATCAGGCTCCTCTCTTGTGGAACCAACTCCCAGCCTTAGTCCGTGAGGCAGACACTTTGTCTACATTTAAGACTAGGCTTAAAACATTTTTATTTGATAGGACCTATGGTTAAAATGTGATGTTAGCCTAGATCTGGAAAAGTGGGGGAGTAGAGGGAGGTGGAGTGTACAGTCGGTAAAGACGGCTCTCCCTTGCCCTGCCTCCATCTAAAAAGGCTAGGTTATCCAGAGTTATCTCTGTAGTTATGCTGCTTTAGGCTTAGACTGATGGAGGTTACACTGACCACTTTCCACACTCTACTACTTTCTTCTACAATCTGCTCTTTAACTGTATTACTTTCTGCAATTTCAGCTGTTAACTTTATTTTTTCTCTAAGTGTTTTTCTCCCCAGAAGAAGCTACAACGATGTTCTGCTGAGCTGTGGTGCCCTCATGGAGGGGGCCATCATCTAGCACACTGCTGCTAACCACTTAAACATTCTCCCTCTCCTGATAATAACACTTTACTTTCCTTGACGTTGGATGTGCTACTACTAGTTTACCCGTTTAATTATAGATTCACTAGGATAAATACAATAAAGTTTATCTCTCACCAAATAGAATATTTACTAAGAAATCACAATGTAACCATAGCAACATTACTTGGTGTGTGTGTGTGTCTGCTCTGTCTTCTCGATCCCCAGTGAGTCGTGGTGGATGGCTGCTTATATTGAGCCAGGATCCTCTGGAGGTTTCTTCCTGTTAAAAGGGAAGTTTCCTCTCCACTGTCACTGCATGCTTGCTTAGTATGAGGACTGCTGTAAAGTCACGGACACTAGTCAGTGACTCGATGCAATTTGCTGGGTTCCTTATTTAGGAAACTTTTTTCTGATTGGCTTAATGAATTGACCTATATTGGAATGTTTATTATGTGAAGTTCCTTGAGACGACTCTTGTCGTGATTTGGTGCTAGATAAATAAACTTGAATTGAATTAAATGTGACTATCTGACCCTGTTCTATGATATAAAGTAGGTTCTCTTTCAGAATTAATATTTCCCTTAGTCCCTCTCCTGCCCTCTACAACTAATCAAGCCTAGAACGTTGGCCAATATTATTGCGCATCCACATGAGGGAGCTGTCAACGAGAATACGCAACCCGGTTCACAGCATCCACTGCAGGGGGACGTACTGATGCGCCTATTAGCTTAGAAACACAGGCATCATATATATAGACGCAACGTGGGATAGCGCTGCCTATTGGAACTGTCGTAGCAGTCAACTGCCATCTTGGATGGGTCTATTTTCCCACCCAGTGCATTTAATTCAACTGAGAAGGGTGTTTACCAAACCAAAAAACAAACAAACACACATTTGTTATGCTTTTTCACAAAATCAGACATGTGGTACAGCATGATGGTAAAATTCTAGATACAATGAAATAAAACAAATGTATATATGCTTCTTCTGCACTGACTACAGTTGGGTTTGGAGAGAGGAACCCATCCATTATGGCGGCAACGCTGTTACGCTCTCCAGCGCCCAATGGCGCATCTATGTATTTATGTATATGGCTTAGAAACGCCACCCTAGCTTGAGCGCTAACTCGACCTGCATTGAATTATTATCAGTCAGTAAACTTAAGCTAACTGTGGAAGGGGGGGCTGAAAAGGGATTATTTTTTTGTGTACTGGAGCTAAGTGATTAGCGCAGCATTCAACCTCACTATTGTTTTAGTCTGTTGTAGCGTTAGCTGGGGTGTGTTAGCATAGAGCCCCAAATTCCGGCTGGTTTTAGATGTTTCTCTGCTTGAACTCTACAGATTTGATTAAAACGAGTGATTAGAGGTTCCTACAGAACTCTGAAGGCTGAGGAGATATTTCAGGAATTAGAATCAGGTGTGTTTGAGCAGGAACAGATTTAAAACATGCAGCCAAAGCCACAGCTTTAGGAGATGAGAGTTTGGGCAGTTCAAATTTATAAATCTCCTCGGACCCCAGCTTTAATAAAGGATCAAAAAGAAAACCAGGTAGGAATTATCAAAATTTTCTCAGGAGCATCTCTTGTTCTGACCTATGAGAGGGTCCATTTCAATGGGTAGATGATGAGCCTGTTCCAGCGAGTATCCTGGAGCTCCACGCAGGCCTGCAAGGTCACATTTAACAGTCATTAACCAAATAATTAAAACAATATAGCTAAAGCTTCATTATTAGGTCTAATCACCTCATGTGCTCTTTAATGGAACGTCTAAAAGTGTAAATTTAAGTGGCTCGTAGAGCCAGAGTTACATGACCTTCCATAATTACGACACAGCTGCATAAAACCTCACCAACTGTGTTGTGCCAGCGGTTAACAGCAAATAGCCGACTGCACGTGACAGTGACGGCTGCCGGTATGCTGAGGTGGGGCAGCGTGTTGGCTGCGACGTGGGTGACGGGGGAGTTGGACGGGAACTTGAGCACCATGATGACGTCCTGCTGCATCTGATCCTTGAACATCAGTGGGCTCTGGGGAAGGAAACACTGGTGAGACAGAGAGAGAAAAGGACAGGAAGGAGGAGAAAGGGGGGAGCAGGGAGAGAAGGGAAGGGGTTTGATGGAGGAAAAGGAAAAAAGACAGGACAGATGGGACAGAGGAAGGGACAGGAGAAGGTATATTAGTGGGAGCACAAGGGTCTGAGCAGGTACACACACTGAGGGCAGCTGGTTGGTCGGGGTTCGGGGGGGATTGGGTTGACATGGATGGCTTTGATGTTGAGACACTGAGGTCTCTTACTGCTCGGGGTTGTAGGGAGAGTACAAGGACTCAGACTTAAATAATAAAGATTACAATCACTAGTATGTAATTAAAACCCAACACAACAAGACGTTTCAAAAGCCATCAGTTCCACTAAATACGCAGAAGCTAATTCATCCTGTCAATTTTCCATAGATGTCATTTAAAATACTTTAAAGTTAAAATTTTATTTAGTTCTGAGACACTCTCACCAGGTGCATGGCAGAGGACCGTGGTGGGTGTGGCTCAATCAGCAGCTGGGAGGGTACCTGACCACAGACCTGAATCTGGGTCTCAATCGGCTAAAGGTGGACAGAGAGGTGGAGAAGAGAAAGGTCACACATAATCTAGAAACATAAAATTAAATTAAAAAACACACTTTCCCTCCCCCTTAATGTTCATGTAAATACACAATTAATGCAAAATAGTCTACTTTGAGTAAAATGAACTTGAAAATTTGCGAAAAAAAACAAACAAACATTTTATCCAAGAGTTACTGATTTATGATGACAAATGTTAATCTGCCAAAAAAGGATGGGTCACCATAGAAACCAACCTCACGCTGCAGAGCATCCAGATTGTCCAGGTTTATGGCTCCCTCGTAGGACAGGAAGTTAAACACGTTCAGAGCTCTGACAGCTTCTGGCCCTCGCTGCTTGTAGCCAAATATGAGATCGATCCACTGGTGAAGCTGACACGACACAAATTCGCTCTCCAGCGCCTGAAAACATTTTGAAAAAACCGTGTTTGATTTAGAGCGAGAAGACAAGACTAACGGCTTTAATATATTCCAGGAGTGATTGAGTCTCCCACCATGCGATTAATGCGAACGAAGTCTTCAGGTTTCTTGGCCCAGGCAGGAAGTTCCACGTCACACACGGAAACGCCGTCATCACGCACGCCAAGTTCATACTCGTTACTGTTGACGAACATTTCTGGCAGGTAGTAAAACTCTGGGATCAGCTCCTGTTTGGTGTGACAAAAATACGTGCATTAGTTCACCCAAATTTACAGTTTAAACTAAATCTGCTAAATGTCAAGAAATCTGGAGCTTTCTCTGAGGGCACCATCTAGAGGTGGAAACAGGTATTGCACTTACGTTCAGTTCCTAACACAATTACGGCTCGAAGCAACACCTCTTTTAGAATTATTATTGTCACATTATATTGTTTATTTAGCCTGGCAAGCCATCGCCATCCTATATATGTGAATATATAGTCTGCCCATGGTCCATTGACAGCTGTCAGTCGTGGAACGGGATCTACGGTTATCTTTTAAACGGTCTCTACATGCTACTGGATAACAAACAATGGGATGTACTCACCTCTACAGATGTCAGTCAACAAGATAGTCCGTCTTTTTCCACCAAAGCAGATGCCAATACATCCTTTTTCTAAATAAACTTAAGAACCTCCATCTGCTCTTGACTCAAAGAAAAACCGAAGTCTAAATAGTCCAAAGTTCATGTGAAAGCCGTTTCAAACGAGCCGTTGCCATCTTTGTTTTTTCAGTACCATCCCACCCACCAACAGGCTGCTCTGATTGGACTGCTACAGAGTCGTTGCCATATTTAGTTCTGCTCAGTCGCGGTAACATCCCGCCCACCAAACCAACAGGCTGCTGTGATTGGACTGCTACAGATGTCAGTCAATGGGGCAGTCCACCATTATATCATGGAAGAACCACATAAAACATCAAAAAACATTAAATAGTACATCAACTTTCTAAATAATATGCTGTGATTGGCCTGGGCTGCGAGGTTCCAATGGAGCATTGCGAGATTGTCAATTTTGCTTCGGCAAATGACGGTCTAGATTCTAGGCTACTGTTTGTTTATACATATATTTTTCAAAAGATGTACTTGTTCATAAGACACGTTGCCAATTCTGCATCTGTCTATGTACTTCCATAATGGTGGACACACGCTCCCCGATCGACATTTGGATGTAAGCACACGTCTAATGCTATTGGCTAATGCAGAGTGGACCTCAACTCAAATTGCATGGGGCTATATGAGACGGGGATGGGCTTAGTGTTAAAAAAAGGACTTATTGCCTAACTTAGAACACAAAACAAGGTAAGATGATCACTTTCACGAATTTCTAAAAAAATCTCTGGATTGTTGCTTTCACTTGAGATTAGAAATTTAGATCAACTGTATTTCTGGTGTAAGAAAACCCGTGTGCAGGTGCAACACTGCTATTTAGTAAACCTCTGAAATCTTAAAATAACCACTATCGACTATGTTCGAATGAACTCAAGATCAGCCCACAAATGCATGTAAACTAAAATCTGACTATATATGTTTATAATACGCTACCTTGACGTCAGCCGTGTCCCTCTGGCAGTTCCTCCATGCACGGCCGATGCCAGAGAAAGCTCTCTCTGGGTGGTCAAACTTAGCATCATTAGCATTGAGGAAGAATGTGGTGAAGGGTTCCTAAAGCCACAGAAATATTTTCTTTTCATTGGAAGTCTTCACTGTTCTTACAGGTTTAAGAAGCTTAAAAAGTACAACAGTTGTAAATGGGTCAAATGAACACTTACTATTCTAACCATCCACATCAGCGTTGAATGAGCAGTGGAGTATAAGTTCGTATAGTGGTGTGGAGGTGTGCCGTCATCGTCCCACGTCTCGTAGCGCTCTGCGTAAAATGCTGCTCGCTTGGGATTCAGAGCACCGATTGGCTGGAGGACAAGGTTGTTATTAATAAAATTACACGTCTTCGTTTTCTTTCTCTGGCTTGTTCAAACCTGAAAAGACCAGAAATGGTACAACTTGGCCTGTTTTGCACAGTTTTATTGCTCTAACCTTAGAAAGATCTCTAAAGTTGCCGGGAAGAGTGAGGTCAAGTTCCTCTGAATCGTAGTTGGTCAGGACCCAGGGGAAGACTGGGTACTGGTTCAGGTCGTTATAGGTCCTTCCTGCAAGAGCAGAGACAAACCAATATGTCCCTTTAAAGATGGTGATAGTGTCAAAGTTTCCTGTATTTGCATAGTTCTGTTATGTGTAATAATGCAGAACAAATAGAGTATTTTTGAATATTACAACAGTTTTATGCAGTGAATTTTTTTTTAAAGTTGTCAGCGTCAAATGATATACCTTTATAAATATATATATTAGGGATGGACTATATATTGGCATCAATATCGGTATCGGCCTATGGTAGTCATTTTTGAACATATCTGTATCGGTTCGATAAATACTGTAAAACCGGACCGATATTAACAACCAATATTTTTTCCATCTCATCTCTATTTGTGTGCCTGTTTCAGAGGGAGAGGGGGTGATGTGTAATTGTTTAGTTATGTGAACAGTGAATGAAATCATCTCAGAACCGTAAATGTGTGTGTTGTGTGTACATAATAACATTGATTTACCTTTAATATTTTTCATTCTATACAAAATCTGCTGATTTTAGAAGCATTAATGTCAGTCTATCGATATCGGCAAATTTCGGTTATCAGCCATAACAATGATCTTAATATTGGATATCGACACACACACACACACACACACACACACACACACACACACACACACACACACACACACACACACACACACACACACACACACACACACACACACACACACACACACACACACACACACACACACACACACACACACACACACACACACACACACACATTTTGTGTAAAAAATGTAAATGAAAACAAACAATACATTTTCTGATCCATGAATTATCTCTCAGTTTGACTATCTGAAATTGATTACTCATGCCTGTGGCCATGAAATGAAACATTTGGAAACAGCAAATTTGAGGCTCTGTAATCAACTCATCAAAATGAAGACTTTGATTTATTTAGTTAAAAAAAGATTTTACCTGCAATTGTGTTTAGAAACATGAGGTACTCAAAGTTGGAGATCTCTCTCCTCTGCCAGCGCTGCGTCATGTTGGACGACTTAAACAGCTGACGAGGAGTCGCCAAGGAAATACGTCTAAAAGGAGAAAACACACACAAAAATGCATATAAACTCCTTTTCTTTAGTTATTTAGAGCATTAGTGAGCATCTGACTACACCTTTGGACATACCTGGCTTGTGGTAGTCCATAACTGGTTCCAACCCCCACCCGAGGGAGGCTGTAGACCACCCTTTTAACTGTGGCTTGGTCGGGGAAGTTAAACATCACTGATGCTGGAGAAATAAGGTGGCAAAATCATTTTTGTTACAAAATTAGAATGTAAAAATGCTCAAAAACTATCTGAATTGCAGAAGAATCAAATGCAGACTTACTTCTGTTGGCCATGAATACCTCCAGTCCAGTGTTCTGCAGCAGGTAACGTCTGGAGAACACCGCTCGGATCTCGCTAAACATCCACTTCCCGTGTAAACCCTCGGAATAAGCCAGAACCTGGTGAGTGAAGATTTAAAAACAAGATTTTTTTTTTCAATCTAACAAAACAAGAATAATAATGTATTACATGGACTTTAAGTTCTTGTTGATGTTTGCAGACTAAAATAATTGCTTGCTCTCACTTTAGCATCCATCTTCTTGAAGGCTGGGTCATCTTCATCAACTTCAAAGTAGATCTCAGTTGTAGTGATGGAGAGAGTGCCTCGAGCCACCACCACAGGAGCCACCAACTGGGCTGGAGTGCTCAGAACCACAGGGCCTGGAGTGGAGGGCGGAGTGGAATGTCAACTCTCACAGACTCATGATGGATAGAATATAAAAATAAACCTTCACAACTAAGAGAAAATGTACAACTTTAGAGACATTTCATGTTTTTTGGTCCTGATTTTTTTTGTATTTACTGTCATGTTATACTTTGTACACTGCTTCGAGCAGGCGATCAGGTATGAAAGTCATCAAGATTGATTTGATTTGGATCGGAATTGGCTTTTAGTCATTTATTCTTTGATTTGATGAGTCGGAGCAATCAGCTGGTGGGTTAGTGGAGATGTTTAAAAAAAAATAATAATAAAAGCTTCCAAACGTCAAAACTTGCCTTTGGAGATAAAAAGTCTCGAACGAAAACGTACTAAAAACAAAAGTCATAAACAGTTTGTTGTTCAGTAGGGCTGAAACCGTTGTATGTTTGTGCGTCTTTAAGGGTTCATTTCCTACCAGCCAGGTTATCGATCTCTTTCTCCTGCAGCAGACTGATGGCGTCATCATCTCCCTCCAGCATCAGCTCTGCCTCCGGGTTCTGGGTGACGACCGACTGGCTGCGGAAGGTCTTCTTGGACTTCGGCCCCTCCTCCTCCTCCTCTTCTGTCCCTGTTTAACAGTGTTTTAACAGTTTGTGAGACCAAGTGGAAAAAAGTGGTAAAGAACATTTCTATGTTACAACACGCCACTGACCATACTCATCCAAGGATTTGAGTGAAATGTCGGCATGTGTGGAGCCAAAGGAGTTTCTCACAAATCTCCTCCTCCTCCTCAGATCATCCTCCCAGTAGTCCAGGCGCCAGAAGTCATGCAACTGGCTGTAGGAATGACAGAAGGGAGGAGGAAGCGAGTGCTTTCAGTGGTGGATGACAAGCTTGTGTTTTTATAGCTGGCTGGTTAAAGCTTAAGGAGGAAACTGTTCTATGAGTTCTTTAAGAGAGAGAGTGAGAGAGAGAGAGAGAGAGAGAGAGAGAGAGAGAGAGAGAGAGAGAGAGAGAGAGAGAGAGAGTGTGTGTGTGTGTGTGTGTGTGGTCTTTGTTGTTTTCTCTCGTCCAACAAGGAAGTTAGCAGTAGCTAAGGCTAGTATTTGCAGTAGTTCAAGCTAGTGTTAGCAGTAGCTCAGGTTAGCATTAGCGCAAGCTCAGGCTAGTGTTACCAGTAGCTCAAGTGTTAGCAGCAGCAGTGGCTAGCTTTGCTCTGTGGTTAGCATTACTGCGACCAACGTTTATATTTAGCTGATGCTGAAGCGAGCTGGGACATGCTAACGTAAACAGGTGTTTGGAGAAAAAGTTTCTCATAAAATTTCCAGAAATATTTAGGAAATCTAAATAAAAAAAATCACTCCTAAAAAACAAGCATCTTTATTCACAAGGCAGGCTGTGTCTCCTTACAGCCTCCTCTCACCTCTGTGACATTGTTCCCCACGCTCCATGTTTATTGGTCAGGATGTTGAGGATCTTCTGTTTCAGCTGATTGGCGGTCACATGATCTCTGTGCTTGGCTGCACTGATGAGATGATCGCACATTTTCTCCTCCTCTCTGCGGTCCGCAGCGTACTGGGCACAGTTAGACTAAGAAAGAGGACAACGGGGTTACTTTTACAGCACAGTGGTGCACAGTCTTTAACCATGTTGATTATAAATGTGCTTTCACCACATCTTTTGTTAAAGTCTAAACAAACTAAACACGTAGGATATTTCTGCATTAAAAGGTCATTTTATGTCACTGATCTGACTGCACATGTGTGAAATACTAAAGTGATCCAGAAGAACAGATCAGATTCAGTGTGATGGAGTTGCTTAATAATTAAACAATAACTCAAAGTGGCTCACTTTGACAGTACACTGGGTCATGTGAGGTAAGAGCAGCCTGTGTAGGCAACCTGGGGCTCTTTGGACCTTCTACAATGGCGTTTATTAAACATGGCCAAAAAAAAACTAGTTTGTGGTTGATAATCTTTATTGACAGACTCTTAGGTCCAGATAAAATACATATAAAACAACAGATCAATGAAACAAAATAGATAAATAGAAGTAAAAAGATAACAGCATAAAATTGAATAAAAATCTAAATGTAATTAAAAACTTTACTATAAACTGTTCCACACCAGGTTAACCACACAAACACTTCAACCAGTATTTCCTTATACTGGAGAAATAGCGACAACTGCTCACAGTAGGATCAGTGATTGCTAAAATTATACTGTTGGCAGAGCTATCCAGTCGGCCTGTAAAAGTGAATATGAGTTTTCTTAAAAGTGCTTTAAAAGTACAAATGCCTGCTGTTACAAACATCTGACTGGCACTGACCCCTCTGGGTATTTTAAGTATGATCCTTAAGGCATCGTTGTATGCAACTTGCAGCCTATTCATGCTGCTTTGATTGTAGGATGACCACAGTTGGGCTGTGTAAAGTGGAGTACAATATGCTTTAAATAAAGCCACCTTAACTGGAGGTGAACAAAATATAGTTAAATATAGTTAAAAAATGCAGGTTTAAGCATATTTTTGTTTTCCAAGTACATTTCTCTACTTAATTCTAAAACCTAATAATAGAAACAGAATAGTTTTTTTGTTGTTTTGTTTTTTTCCAAAAAGGACAAAAAAATCTTTTAAGCCTAAACAACACATTTACCTCAAATTCGGCATGTTTGTGCACATCCTCAGCCCTCTGTCTGTTGAGAATGAACTCCGCTTCATTGGCAACACGAACAATATGATCCTTCATGGCGTGGCACAAGAGTCTGGTAAAGAAATGAGAATGACTGCAGCGCAACAAGTCCACAACGCACTTCAACCATGTGACTTCCTGCTGAGACGTTATCCTGACGAGGCTCTCATTAGGGCTCAATCACGTCAGTTGTCAAACAACAGAACAATTCTAGTGTTAATAAGCTAGTCAGACACATTGGCGTGGGGGTGAAAATCACTCTGTGATTAATTACCTTCCCTCATTGATGAGCTCAATAAAAGCTAGGCCCGCATTCTTCTGAATTGAGTTCTGCCATTCCTGGAAGACAAATTAGGATTATTATTTGTGAGAAAGGTAAAAAATTATATCAATTTCCAGCAGGGATGTTCAAAATCAGCCCTTATACCGATATCTAATTTACTGATATAGTCTAACTCTTAAAGCCATACTTTAACTGGTTTAGGTTTGACCCCATAGACGTACTAACAGACACTAGGAGGTGTTAAAAGCAAGCAAAACTGCAAAGTGTCCCTTTAATTTCTGATACTGATATAAACCTATACCAATGAGCTAACCAGCAACTCCACAACATGCCGAAAAACAACCGGGCTTGTGTTGTTTGAGGAGATAACACACAAACGTTGCATTTTCCACCCAAGAAGAAGAACAAACAAAGGCAGTAGAAAAATTGTGTTGATGCTACCAGTTCTTTTTTATCAATATGTGATTTGCTGACTTAGTCCAACTCTACGTTTCTGATACAGATAACTAAAACACTTTAAATAACTCACATAACTAACCTTTGACTGTGCAAAATATAAAAAATGAATCTATTTCAGTTAGGCCAGTTGTGCCAAACAAACAAAAATAGATCTGTCATATTTCAACATTTTGAGCGAGAGAAGATGTAGCTGGAGTTTCATTTATAATATGTCCATTGCAAGTAAAAGTTGCGTCTCTAAAAGAGTAAAGAACCAAATTCTGCACTAAAGTGTTGCATTTATAAAAGTTTGTTCAATAGGAAAAAAAGAAATTTAAAGTTTATTTTTGTTTTTTTGTGATGGATTATAAAGTAAAAAAATGCAAAAATGATCTAGCATTTTGGTTGTTTTACTAGGATAAAAATATACACTAAATACTCAACAACAATGTGCGAACACCCATCTGAGCACCGGTAAAGGCTTGGTGCACATGAGAGTGGAAACTCCTGAGCAGGATAACGGTGATGCTAAAAGCCTGAGCTCCATTAGCCGCAGCGTCTCTTAGGGCCATCTCCTGTTACACTCCCCCCATCCAGAGGATCGATTTCTGGGCTTCAGTTTGCTCTCCTGGGCCTCTAATGGCAGACGAGACCAAAGTCGGTGGTAACACTATACATGCTGACGAGCAGCCTCCCGGATGAGTGCAAGGGAGACAAAAGGAAAGGGAGTGGTGGGACGAGAAGGACAGGAGATGAAAGCAGTTGATGCTGAAACACAGGGTGGAAAATGCCTGATGTTGCCACTGAAGAGGAAGCAGGAGAAAGGGACAGAGACGCGGTGATTGAGTCTGATGAAAAAGAGGAGGATAAACTCAAGGATGACTTCAAGAACAAGAGCTCTTGCAATCCAAGATCTAACGAAGGGGTGAAGACTTGAGAGAACTTCAAAGAAAACACCCATAGCATTGGAGTACAGCTCTGTAAAGGTGAGTGTCATCCTGTCTTTTATGTTTATGGAGGCCAACTTTAAAAACTATAAATGAGCCAGAAAACAATCAGCAATATCTAAATATAAGGAGTTTGCCTTTTGAATTTTGTCTTTTTAATTGAGTTTTATTTATTGTGGTAAATTCTTCAAATTCTGATACTGTGAGACTGTAGAAGCTAATGTTATACTGCGCCTGCACTGTGCATGAATCACAGGCAACAAAAATGCCTACATCCATCACATTTTTTGCCCCGAGTCCAAGTCATTTGATTTTGAACATCTGTTCTTCAGAAACATTAAAATACGATATTTTACTTCTATTATTTATGAATTTATTTCTATGTTCATATAATTTTCTCAATTTAACTGCCCAAAAAAAAAGCACGTGCAGGAAATTCGTCCATCTTGGCTGTGACCTTTTCTTTTTTACCCTCCTTAGACAATTTCTCTTTGCTTTTCAAATCTTGTCGTCTGGTTCTGTGTTTTTGTCCAAGTTGCTGCAGTTTTTGTTGGGCGTTTGTTTTTAAGGTGGCAGACAAGGACATGTGTGGGTCAAAGGAACTGTTGAAGCCAGTGTGTTTAAGAGGTTGCTGCAGGTGGATGAGTGTGTGTTTCTGGAGAAAAAAAAACTTAAAGATAGTCATCTGTAGTAGACCTACCAGCACATCTTCTCTCTCATCTACACGTACACCTCTGGACAAACACTTAGACACCTACTGAGACCCGTAAGACAAAGTGACATCTGAAACTTGGATTGACTAAGGCCCGCCGAACCCACGACATCGCTGGCCCCAACAAAGGAGACGGGTCACTTTGCTGTGGCGGCGCCTGTCGGAGAAATCCTAAAGGATGGTTTGTTGTTAAAGTTAAAGTCCCATTAGTTGTCACACACACTGATGTGTGTGCGAAATTTGTTCTCCCGCATTTGACCCATCCCCTGGGGGAGCGGTGAGCTGCAGACACAGCCGCGCTCGGGAACCAGTTGGTGGTTTAACCCCCCAATCCAACCCCTTAATGCTGAGTGTCAAGCAGGGAGACATTGGGTCCCATTTTTTCAAAGTCTTCGGTATGACCAGACCAGGAATCGAACCCTAATCTCCCAGTCTCAGGGCGGACACTCTACCACTAGGCCACTGAGCTGGTGGCGTAACAGATGTTGAACATAGCTGCGTCTTTTCCACCACCTGAAATACCAAATGACTGTTCCACTGCCTTTGCTGTGCCGTTTAAAATACATCCAACCTGGAGACATTTTCGCTCTCCAGTTTGAAAGTTAGGTGCGCATTAGCCAGCTAGCTAACAAGTACATGTTACGGTGTCCGTCATAAATTGTGTCACATGACATTGTTGTCGTCATCCATGCAACAATGCATATTAATGTGGAAGAACTTGTTAAATCAGCATTAATCTCTCAGGGTGAATGGAAAAGGCCACCCTTGTTTTTTATCTGATCTTTTCCACCTGATTCCGGATCTTTTGAAAGTCACGCGAACGGCTCGGCGCATCCCTAATTGTAAATGCAAGTCGACATCATGGTTCTGGATTTTGTGGCGTTTTCGTTTGACGTTTTGTTTCATCAGCAGGGATATATCACCAACCTGGGAACAGAGCAGCATGACGAGCTCCACGACAGATGTGCTGGACTTCATACACACCAGACCTGCAGCATAGACACAAGCGTCCATCAGAAGCTTCTATTCCTACGTCTCTCACACAATAACACCCAATCTCTTTGCCATACAAACATGTCACTTAAGGTATCTTCGCGTTAGCGTAACTGTATGCAGTCATTATGACTTAATTCATTTTAAAGAGCATGCCACAGGAAAGACAAGAACAAACAGTGAAGAGACTTAGGGAGGGGGGGGGGGGGATCAGAAATCGAAGAGCATCAACACTGAAACAGTGGATCACAAAACAGGAAGCAGGTGGGCGGAGAGAGGACAGCACCACATTTAAGACAATCTAATTCACGACTGATCATAATCTGATCTGAAATCGATTAACCAGTCTGACTAGCTGGGATAAAAACACTGAATTCATACCTGGTGGACGAATGAGTGAAGCAGCTGACTCAAAAACACTCATTCTCACACAAAGCATCACTCACTCACTCACTCACTCACTCACTCACTCACTCACAGATTAACGTTGCAGTGAGGGACGGTGAATGAGGAGACTCCACATAGAGACGCCAGTTAGAGAAAAATGAGCCGTGTACAGCACCTGTACCTTCTATGAGCAGTTCCTGCCCATGGCTACCCAGCAGCGTCCTGGACAGAAAAGGAGCAAAGTCCACAAAAATCTCCCTCAGCAGGGGGGCCACCTTCTCCAGAGCGCGCTCCAGCTTGGTGGTGATGCTGTAGTGAGAAATGAGCAAAAAAAAAACAAGGATGAGGGGAAAAGGAGGGAAGACAAAGGGTTAAAAAGTCATTAAAGGAGGTGGGAGAGGGCAAGAAACAAACATGCATGAAAGAGACAGGTGAGAATAAGAGAACAGGAAAAGAAACTGGTGTGAAATGAGCGCAGATGTCACTGATTCCAACGTACTAATGGTTTTGTATGCATCATCTAATGGTTGTGTTAGTCCTGATGAGTTCCGGTTAAAGCTACCATAAGCTAAGCAGCTTGACGTGGTGGACTGACTGAAGAGAAAGATCCATTTCATCTGATTCATCCAGTTTATTCTGAAAAATCTTCTGCCAAAATAATTTTTTAAGTCAGATTTGCACTAAAAAGTAAAAAGTAAAGTAAAGTAAGGGAAAGTAAAAAGCACTGAGATATCACGGAGCTAATCATATGGTCACAAAACTGCAATATGATGAACACAGTTTTATGTTAGCACAAGAGTCATCAGCCAGTAATGTTCTGGTTTAAAACAAGAAATATCTGTTTCTTCCAATTTCGTCTTTTTGAAAATTCGCTTATTTTTACTAATAAAAATAAAAACTAATTCCTTCAAAAAGAAGGATTTAACTAAGAAAATGAAAAACTTTTCATCCACCAGTTCTTCTAAGGAATATTTCTGCTATTTTCAAGTGTGTTTCTGTTTGAAAGTTATAGATAATCCTCCTGAACTTGCTCTGCTCAGAGAAATAGATTTTAAATCCCTCAGGACTGAGGCCGTAGCGGCTCGCCCGAGCACAGCCAAGACCAAAGTGCTGTTCTTCGGTTCCAGAGTAGAGCCGCAAACGCTAACTTCTAAATCTTCATCAGCTCTGCATCACAGGAGTCTGTTCATAAATATGGGTGATTATCACCAATAGCAGTGAAATGTTGTCACTTCCTGTGCATTCAGGGGTCGCGTTAGGCAGGATTTTTTTTGTTTCACATTTCGAAAATGAACAAAAATAAGCATTAAGGCTAAATTAATGTTCACTTTTTTTCAGTGTTTCCAAGAACTGCTGAAATTTAGGAAACTGGATTTGCTCTAAGACGGCTCCACACTTTGGTCTAGCTTTCAAACTTTCCATGAGCTCTCCAGTCCTGTAGTTCTGTAATCTCCATTTCTCCTAACCCAAGCTGTTTGTGATGCTAGCTACGAGAGGTTAGCTCCATCCAGTTTGGGTCTTTGAGGAAACAGGTCCAGAAAGAGAAGCACTGGCTAATTCTTCTCCTGGCGGGATGTTCCTGGAACACCTCCAAAGAAAACTGACCAAGGAATTACCTAATCAGATACCGAACCACCTCAGCTGATTCGCTTTGTTGAGGAACAGCAGCAGCTCTGCTAAAAGCTCCTCCTTGTTGACGAAACTCCTCGCCTTATCACCTCCCAACCTATAACGCGTATCCTAGCTACCCTACAGAGGTAGCTCATCTCGGCTGCTCGTCTCTAGGACCTTACTCTTTCAGTCATGATCAAACTCTTGTGACCATAAGTGAGGGTTGGAATGGCGTCTTGTGCTACTCCAACAAACCGGAGCAACACCCTCATTACTGACGATGAAGCTCAGAGCCATCGGTCTGCCTCTCGCTCGCTCACTCATGAACAAGACACCAATATACGTTACCTCCCCCAGGCTAGACTCACTCCCAACCTGGAGGGAGCATTCGACTCATTCATGAACCATGTCCTCAGATTAGTTTGAGAATTATTTATACGTTTTTCCACAGAAACACACTTTAAATATGTCTTTATAAACACTGGAGGAAAAAAAATCACGCAAATAGAAATGTTATTTTAGTTTCCTTCGAGTCTGTGCTGCAGAGGAGGTCCAAACAGACCTTGTGACCCCGGCTGATCTGGATAGCAGGTTAGTGTGAGGAGACAACCATGCATTAAAGGGACAGACTAATATGTGGTGCAGAAGATGAGCTGCTGGTCTAGAACTGAAGTGAAGCTGTCATCTTGCTGAAGCAAGATGTCCGTCTTTAGCAGCATGGCATAAAGGGAACATTTGGTGTTGGCTGGGAAGAGTGTGGTGGAGGCGTGACAGTGGGAGGAGGAGGAGAGGGGTGAGGGGTAGAGTGGGAGGGGCATGGGGGACAGGACGAGTATCTCCTTGCCTAAAACACTGTCCTGCATCTCGGGGGGCTGCCTGGAAGCCTGCCAGAGAGCTAAAAGACTTGAGCTCAGGGGGCGTCTGACCGCTGCGCAGCGCACACTGCGCCACCTCACAATAGGCACTGCAATACAAACCACACACACACTGATTTAGGAACACACATGCACCCACACACTCTTGTGTCTGTGCACTTTTATAGCATCAGATTTCTACAAAGTTCAGCTGGAGATCACCTGACTCTCTCAGTTTGGTAAAGCAAAAACACAGAATCACGTTAGTCACAGTTTTATTTAACATCCCTCTGAAACACATTAAGATCAACGGGCTGCGGGTTCATGGATGATGGTGTTGCTAATCTCCAGTGAGTGTTTTGGGTGAAAACACTCGACCATCTGTGATGAAGAGCACCTTAGAGTTGAGTAAGTGAGGAAGTGTTGGCCCAAAACACGTGAGGCAGGAGAAAAATTGATCTCAGCCGATATTTCTCATTAGAGCGTGACGAGTTTCCTGGTTCATTTCCTCTGGTGGGATGCATCGTGCCCGCCAGCTGAGGCAGACGTCCACCAGCTTTAATCTGAAGTAGGGCAACAGATCTTGTGTTTTTTTTTCCACTGCAGATGTTTTGACCTGAAACTGGGGGACAGGGCTGCGTTCCGCTCCAAGGAGGTTCTGTTGTTCAGCTTGTGCAGAATTGGAATGCAGCCCTCATTATAAACCTGAACATCAAAATGGCTCAACATAAAAGAACCCTAAAGATGAACGTTGTTTGCTTTTTGTCACCCTGACTGTAAGATTTGTGTCACTGTCTCTCGACAAAAGTAGATGAAAATCAAAAGAATGAACTGAGATGTTTCAGCTATGTTTCTTCTATTTTTTGTTTCAAAACTGAAGCGAATAAATCAAGCTGAATGCAGTGTACATTTTAGGACCTCCTCAGGAAAGCACCGTCAGACGTCAGATCTCAGGGGCGTCAGATTTTAGAGGAGAAAGCATCAGGGTTCATTCAAAAACACATCAGATTTCTGACTAGTCTCAGAAGTAACAGCTTCAGATAAAAACACCTCAGATAGCTTAGAGAGAAGAATCCTGCAGGTGGCGCCATTGTCAGGTCACACCCAAATTTTGGTCTAAATATGTCATCAATGTGCAACAGAGGCAGTAAAATAATGAATAGATAATTTGTGATTATTTGATGATATAGTGTGGTGCAGCCAGTCTAGTGTGTGTGTGTGTGTGTGTGTGTGTGTGGTGGCGACAAGAAAGTGTGCAGCCGGCGGGATTTGGAGTCTTATTTCCTGATATTTAGACATCTCTCCTCTGACTGGCTAGCAGCAATACAACTCTACCACTGACTCCGCTTGCTCTGCCACATGGATGTTTTACCTCCAAAATTAACACAAGCACAGAGGAGCTTCTGCTGTGTGGTGGAGTTGCTAATGCTAACAGTTAGCTTTTACCAGCCGAGACGTTCTTTGCAGTTTCCTGGACGCTAAACAAACAAATGGCCCTCCCCACCACGGGTCAAGATGGGTGAGTCTGTGAATGTTAAGCGACAGCGTGACGTAGATCTGTCTGGCGTTTCAAATCGTAGAGTCTCGCTGTCCATTTTCAGTCAGAAGCTAACGCAGGAGATAGGTGTAGGGGACTATTTTCATGTTCAGCCTGCATAAAAACGAGTCACTGATTATAATCAGAAATAATCATTTAAAAAAGTTGACTTTCTGTGTTCCGCACCTTTAAACCAGCTTTTCTCAGGACGAACCGTTTCACAGCCACGGAGATGGCATGGACTCCCAAGCAGCCCATCTTGACCATCAACAGAGTAAATGCAGTTTTGGATACTAGAACACCTTTTAAATGTGGTTAGGTCAGGAAACTTACATGACGGCAAATAATGTTACGAGTCTGAATCTGATGTTACGTTGCACACTGATGCCGTGTTTGGACAAATATTTGGTGTGCAACACTTTTCACAGACTTTTGTATGTTTTTAACTAATGCAACATTTTTATTGCAGTTTTTAGAAACAATCCACCTGCTCTGTGAGGCCCTTCTATCTGGTGTCATTTATTCAGAAGTTTGATAGGTTTCTGTATGAAACCTGATGCTTTTTCCTGGGCAGTTTGACATCTGAGGCCACTTTATAAATAAATATTATAAAGAAATCGAACAGCGAACATCAAAGGGTAAATGTTTTGTTTTGCGTACACTTGAGTTCTATTCTGGAGATTCCCTTTACTTTTTTTTGCTCTATAAAATAAATGTTACATTTACAGTTAATATTTTATTATTATTATCAATATTTTACAACTTAAATAAAACTTTCAGCACAACCAAAATGACTAATGTGACTAAAAAAAGAAAAGACAAACTGTGCTGCACTCCTGATGCTCCCAGTCTCTCCAGATAAAAACGCATCGGTCTTGGATTCTTAGATAAGGATGAAGGGATTGGAATGAGGTGGGAAAAAAAAGACAACAAAACATAAAACAAGACAAAAAAATCCAAAAGGAGGAGAAAAAAAGGAAGAGTGAAAGGAAACTAGGTGAATGAGGAGTTTGACGGTGGTGGGAGCACACACCTCATATTCTCCATGGTGTCTTCTGGCATGGGCGCCACCGTCTGCACCGCTGGCAGGTTCTTACTAGTTGCTCCGTTAACAAACGATGAAGAGGAGGAAGTAGATGAGGAGGCAGAGTCTGTGGCACCTGGACAGGACACAGAAACAAAAGGGATAGGGATGAAAAACAGGACAACAGTTACAGAAACACGAGTCAATCTAGCATGGCGACATTTAGGATTTAAGATAATGAAACAGGAAAGGCATCGATGCGGCTGTTTAGTTGTAAACAAATTTAATTTAATTGTGTATGACTAGAAGCTCTGCAGCTTTGCAATCAATACACAGAATGCATTTCAGAGACCAAAGTCCTGCCTTCTCCATTTTCCATGAAAAACACAGCAGAAATATGTCTGACGGGCCGACAGGGACCTGAATACAAACCTGTTTCCCTACAAAGAATCTGTGAGCACGATGTCAGCTGGCTATCAAATATCGTTTCTTCTAATCTCAGTCTTCTTTTATTCTGAAAGGGTATACTAGATCAAAATGTGTCTTTATACACACATACTGATGTCAACCATTGAAAAGTTTTGCTCTCTCGCCAACTGAAACCTGAGTTGATTGAAGATTTTTTAACAGAAAAAAAATGGTTTTATTTTGCAGAGAAATAGAAATCTTTGCAAAGATGCATTTACATCACGTCTCTCCTCTCCCACCTGTAGTGTTGATCATGCTCTTGGGCGTGGCCGTTGCGGCAGCGAAGATGTTGGGTGTGCTACCGGGGGTGGCCGACCCACTGGTGGTGGGCGTGCCCACGGTGTTGACCGACAGGCTGCCCGGCGGTGGCTTTTTCACGGGAACGACAACACTCCTGTCAAGACAAATCACTCGGGTTTCAGGTAAAAGAAGAGCCTGTTGTGATGTAGTGGTTGCGTGTGTCGGCCTGTGCCCGCTGTGGAGGACCACATGAGGTGACAGCTGCTACAGCGGCCGCCTAAACCGCAGGTTTCAGCCACTTTTTCAGTCAATCGTAGAGAGAGAGAATCACAAAAATACTTCAGAAAATTTCCTTTTACGAATAAGGTTCATCCTGTTAAAGTTGAAGGTCTAATGTAAAGCTTTTCAAAATAAAGCATTTACAAATTCATTGCATAATTATCCACAAGCCAGAACAATACATACACGGGTATTTAAAACACTTATTTTAGAAGAAAGCTTCAACAAGAATTTGATTTTTGTCAACATCGCACCCAATTTTAATTTTAGTAAATATATTTTATTTCCTGAGCACTTGTTTCTGGGCTAAATTAATAACTTAATATAATAATCGGGGGAAAAATAAGGCTGGATATGTACGTTTATGCTCTTTTATGTTTATTTTTATACTGCTTATCAAATAAAAAGTTTAAGGAGAAGCCCAGCTGGCTAAGCCTGATGTAAAACACCAGATTGAGTATTTACAGCTCTCTCAGGATCAGCTATTTTCACCTGGTTTTGCAGATAAAACCACAAAAAAAAAAAGGACCGAACCTGTCGAAGGAGTGGAACTGCATGGGCAGCATCGGATGCGTCTTGAGGGCGGGGTCGGGGTGGTAGGGAGTGGGTCCGGACTCCTGGCCCAGCTCGGCTCCGTCGATAGGAGCGGCCACTAAACTCTTCAGAATCTCCTGATTTCAGAGAGAGGAATCAAACCTGGTGAACCGACTGTTACGACTCCAGAAATGACGTTTAACGAAATAATCCGTTTTCTTTATTTTGACAAAACATTAAAACTTGTGAGATCCACCATGCTTGAGGTGTTTAATGCATTTTCCTCATAACTGCAGGTCCGACTGAGAACAGCCTCCACCCACCTTCACATTGATGCCTTTGTTTGTCTGACTGATGCTGGAGATGGATGAAGGCGGAGCTTGGCTGGAGTTGGGAGTGGACCTGGGGATGTGGGGGGAATCCAGAAGGCTCTCCTGCGACTTCTGAACATCTGACGACAGGCTGCACAACAGATCCGTGCCCCCTCCCCCACCACCTCCTCCATTGTCTCTGTCTCGATCCCTGTCTGTCTCTCGCCCCACTAGGCCCAGACCGAGCCCCAGACCCACCTCTGACCCGTTCAGGGACCCGGCCATATGACCCTCCTCTCCGATGCCTGAATCCGTGTGGGGGAGGCCAGCCAGAGGAGAATCATCCACTGGGGTTGGGGTCTGTTTGTCCCGGTCGGAGAAGGCGGAGGATGGATGTTCTGTTGAGATGAAGAGGAACAAATGATGAATTTTGTTTCTTTTCTTTACTTTTTTCTATTTCCACTTTCTGTTGTGTTCTTAGCAGAAGCATCATTTATTCCACCAATGAGTGGTTCCCAATTGACTCATAAAGAATAAGGATCACCTGTACTGGTCGGGGAGTTGATCTCATGACGAATGCTCCTTCCCGATAGGCTGGTAGACCTGCCAATCTCTCTCTGAGGCTCCAAAATATCTCTGTACTTAGACACCATGAGGACGGAGATGAAGTAGACGACAGCCAGTGCCAGAAACTGGGCCTGCTTGCTGTCATCCTGCAGACAAACAAAGAAAATTCATTTCATTTGTAAATAAAAACTTCCTTTTGACCTTATTTACAACCAAAACGCTGCAGAAAAGCAGAATCCATCATACCACGTCTCTGAAAACCACAGCTCGAAGACGATTGATGTCTACGTCTTGCAGGAGTCTGTCTGGGTCCTGCTGAGTATAGATGTATAAAAAAAAAAAGCTGTTTCCATGTTTACGGTGTTGTGCGATGTTTTAGTTTTCCTCTGATTTGTGTATCTGGTACCTTGCTGGTGGTGGAGGCACTGTGGAGGCTGTCTTGTGATTTGCTGCTGGTTAATGAAGACTTGCAGCTCCGGTCTCGCTGTCTCTGCCTGCACTCCAGGCAGTTCCTGACTGCCACACAGCAAACTGATGGGAGGTTTGAGAAGAAACAAACCACGTAAGTATCAAATAATCATGAAGGCTTTTACATGTGAAGGCCCTTCTGCTTGTGGGGATTAAATATTTTGTTTTTGTGGAGGTAATTCATTTACTGCAGAGGGTAAAGGTGTGTTCTGCACACAACCAAAAACTACAAGAACAAAATGAACTAATTAATTAACTAACGAAGCAGCAATTAGCAAGAGGCCAGGTGGAGAACAGGGGGTATTTTTTTCAGGTTTTAATTTTTAAGGCATTACTGTAAATAAAAGTGCGTTTTTAGACACTTCGTCATCAGCCAGCCTCCTAGCATGAGTCTTTCAAAATTAACTTTAAAGCAGACATGTTATGACTTATTTTCTTTGGTTGTAGTAGCTCTATGTTCGATACAAAACATCTTCATAAAGTTCTTAGCGCTAGATCCGTCTCACATAAGGCGATTTCAGCTGTTTTATTCTTGACATTTTCCGTACCTTCGAGAATGAGCCGTGTCAGGGCTCTGTCAATTTAAGAAAACAAGCTGGAGCCGGCCACGCCCATCTATACCCCGCTCGGGCTGCTATAAGCTGAGAAGCTCGGATATCGGAGTAGAGCCCCTGCTCCACCATCGTAGACAGGTGAGAGGTGGTACAATGCTAATTTCCACACGACATGAGTATGTGCCGGTGACCGCCTCAAGAAAGAAATCCGGGTCGACCTCAGGCATTTGCTGGTGCAGGATAGTGGGCGGGCCTCCTGGCATGGTAGTCAGTGTCCACTCTCTAGAAAGTTCTGCAAGCAGCTGCAGGATCGCCGTCTGCCACTGCGTTTGTCGTTGCAGTCCCTCCAACTGCTGACTGCAGAGTTCCGCCAAATTGTGGTTTACCCGAACCATCTCCGCTAACATCCACGACTGGCGGGGGAGTCGGCGCATCGTGGTCCAGCTGCTGCATTATTACAGCAAGTCCACACCCGCGGGCCACAACTAAATGCTAGGGGAGTGTGTGTGAAGCCCCACGTTGGGCACCACTTAAGCATCTACCAGTTACACTGGGGTTCACACACACTCAGACCACACAGCTTTCTGCATCAACACAGCTTTATTGACCCTCTCAGGGAAAAGCGTGGCTGCCACGCTCGTCTCCAGAGTCAGATCTCACCAGGCTCCTCTCGTCTCCCTCGTCTCTCCTCCTTCTCTTGCAGCACTGGCCCTTATTATCAGCCTCAGGCTGATTAGTAATAGGCAGCCGGTGCGCAGAGGTGGCTCCCAATGGCTCCTCCTTTGTTGCACACTGCCACGGGGACGTTTTCAAATGGCTGGTTTTAGCCTTATTATTCCTAAAACCAGACGCTGAAGGAAAACGGATGGAATGATTTTTTTCTTGTGTGGAGGCGGTAAAGACCCACATAGCACCACTAAAAGGAAGCAAAAAGTGGGTTTTTCATCATATGTCCCCTTTAAATTGAGCTATTTTGATTAAAACAGAAAAATAGGGACATGTAAAAATGATAAATCTAAAGCTAGTTTAATGTTTTTATGTACATTTTTTAGGAGTAATAAAATATTTTTAGAGTCAACTGCAATAATGTTTTTGAAGTTTTGATCAAAAATTAGAGGTAGTGCATTTTTTTCAAAACCCTATGGACTGGACCTGAAGAGGATGCAAACAGACTTTTCACTCAAATACACCTAATTTGAATAGATTCTTTATATTTACCAATTTTTTATTAGTATCATAATTTTTATTAAAGGAAATGTTAAAGAGATTTTTTGGACATTTTACCACCTTTAAAGGACAAAAAAAGTTGTCAAATGTGTTTATTTAGCAGAACTGTTAAATTAGATTAAATTAGTTGGTCAAAACTAAAATATTGTTCCTTAAAAAGGAGTCATTTCATTGTTAGATCATAATTTGCACAGTTTTTGGGTAGGAAAGTGTTAGTTCCTAAGCTCTTTTGAGTCCGCTGGACATATCTTGACATATAAATTGCCAGACTTCAACGCTGATTTTCACATTTTAACTAATCAAGCAGCATGTGGCATAAACTTTGATCAAAACCAAACACGTTAAACCAACACACACACACACCAAGGCGGAGGCACTGCCTCATGAGCCCTCCCGACGACATGTTTTTCTCCGCTTCGATCTCACTGAAGTTGAGGGAGCTAGCGAACACCAGGACGTCCACCATGGCCATGAGACGGGACAAAAATGTAACCGCCGTCTCTGAAGACATGCCCTGCGTCGCCTCGATGTTCTCCAGCTCCGTCTGTGGGAGGAAAGAAATACAAACACATACACATACACGATTGACGATTATTCTGTGACAACACCGGGGTGTGTGAACGAGATGGAATGGATGCTCTCTGGGTGGTTGGTGAAGAGGCAATGAAATAACATCTTGTGTTTTATTTTTTTATATAATTTTTCTGGATAAAAATTAAATATAAAACCTTGAAGTACGAGGTGCTCTAAACACAGGAAGTGCAGCTTGATGACACACAGGCGATGGCAACAGTGGGACTGCAACAGCAGCTGTGGCAGTTTGTGGCTTATTTACACAAACACACTGAATCCCAGGTTAAATTAATGTGGCATTGCAAGAATGTGAACCCAAAAGTGTGTTTTCACTGTTCACTGCTTCTGTAAGCAGGATGTGCAGAGCTGTGAGGAGCTGAATAAGTGCAACCTTCTGAAGTTTCATCAGAGAAAGTGATCACAGACAGTTTGGAGAACAGCAAACACAGAAACGCTGGTGCGTTTAGCTCTTCTGGTGATGATGATCACAAGTTTCTGTACGCACCTCTCCCCCTGCACCTCCTCCCCCAGGAACAGGGGTCACCTCCTCTCCTTTTGAACCCCTCTGGGGTCCGGCGCCTCCTGCCTTCTTTGATTTTGATAAAAATGAGACATTCTTAGCAGATGCAAGGCCTGGGGACTTTTAGAAAATTCTCATTTACTTAGTTTAGATCCATTAAAAATAATTCCCTAACACGCCTGTTACTTTATTGGTGATAAACCCACTCTGGTCCAATTTCTCATGTATTATTCTAACAGTGTTGAGCAATAAATCAAACAATAGATGGGGTTAGTATGGGATAAGTTTTGTGCCTAAAAGGTCAACAAAAAATACAGTCTCACAAAATGTATGCAAATAAAGCAAACCAAAAGAACCCGTCTGGTGCAAAAAAATAATTCTAAAAGTAAGATGGTTTAACTCATAGGTGAACATAAAGGCTACATTTCAAAACAAAATTTTCACTTCTTAACTATTCATTATTTTGTTTTTCTTCTAATTCTGCATTGCTCAAACTATTTAGGCTTTTATTCTGAAGGGCGTGTTTGGTAAAATCATTTTGCTGCACCTCAATCTTGCTTCTGCTCTGGGTTTTAGATTTTTTTTTTCAAAAATAGTCTTAGTGGAAGATCGCATTTCGAAACAGCTTGAGCCACTCCCTCCAAACCCCCATAACCAATGAGATTAAAGCCTGATTCATGCTTCTCCGTCTGCGTCAGTGCGGAGACACGCAACGTCCTTGCGTGCCTGCCGGAGAGCTCCACAAGGACGGACAGAGTCGAGCTCTCTTTTCTAAACATCCGTCAGTCGAGACGGACAACACACGCTTGTGACTGGTCAGGATGCCGCCGTTGTTTACAACGCCGCCATTGTGCCCTCAAAAACATAAAGAGAGCCGAGGATAACTAGCGGCAGACACGGAGAAGCTTGAAGAATACCTCGCGAAAAAACTCTAAAAATATGAACGTTTAATTCCCCCGTGACTGGAGGAGTGAAAAGATGCACAGCAAGCGTCTTATTTGTGGACGGAAATGACAGGAAACGTGGGTTTAGAGGTGGGGAGCGCATGGAGAGGTGGAGGAGAATGAGAGACAAATTTGTCCGTGTTAAAAAGTCTCTTATATACAAAAAACACAATATAAACACACTATCTCGGACCGGATAAATGACAGGATACCACAGAACAGCGCTACGTTCTCTGTTGTCCTGCCGGGGAATTGCTTTGCAACACTCTCCAGGAGACAGAGAAGTACGAGAGCAAAACGCTTCCGTCAATCCGTGCGTGTCTGTCCCTTGCGGAGCTGACGGAGAAGCGTGAACCAGGCTTAAAGCAGCACTGAGCCTTCCACTGAGACTTTCTTCAGAATAAAAGCCTGAACAATGTGCAGAATTGGTTAAAATGACAATGTGAAGTTTTTAATCATTAATCTATGTAAACATCCATCGAAAAGTTGTTGAAAATTAATGAAATTATGCCAAGTTGTTGGAAAATATTGGTGGCCTCATAACATATAACCATAAAAATCAGGTGTAATACACATGGGAGCGGGTCTGAGTCTTTGGACGACGCCATATTAGACGCCATGTTTCCATCAATTTGAGCCGATGAGGACCGATAGCATTTACTGATTTGTAACATGCAGTTTGACCATAAAGGCCCATCCACTGGTAAAGTCTTACTCGAACATAAAAATACTGCTTTCTTGCAATGATTTAGGTATGTCCTGCCCTCTATTGCCAGGGAAGATACACATAATCACTTTAACTCTTTCACTGCCAATGACGACTAAAGTCGTCATTTGCATATTTTTATTGTGTGGGCATCGGAACGAGCCCACGCACCGTGAGAACAAACATCTCAGCTCTAAAGCCGATCTTCATCCTCGTACATCACATGTCATGTGACTAGGAAGCAGAAAATCCATATGCAAGGAGATCATTTTGGGCCGTTGCTGTAAAAAAGTGAGGGGTGAACCGGAAAAGCTTCTGCCGATCACACTTCAACAACGGATTATGAAAGAATGGATAACGCTCGAAATGCACGGCTTTTTCCTGATGCAAGAGGCGAGTCTCCTCTTTGTTTCGGTAGTTTGGCGTCGACATCATCATAGTGTGCAACATTCTGTGACTCTTAGAAAAACAGTGAAAAAAAAAGTGAGAAACACTGGCAGCGAAGGGCTTTACCGATCAGGAAACGGCTGGCAGCGAATGAGTTAAGAATCAAAAAGGTGTCAAAAAAATAAAACATGATAAAAAATGTTTTTTTTGTTTTGATCTATAAATATTTACCAGAGAATTATTTCATTTTGTTTTTAGAGTGATTTCATTGGTTTGAAAGTCCCACTTCCCTCTGAAATGTGCGTTTTGGTTGCTATTCAGGTATATTTTGTGTGAGGCTGTATTTTTTCGGCACAAAACTTGTCCCATATCTTAGCAGCTAAGTGGCACAACAATCTCAAACACTATGAATGTAAAGCGCACAAGTGTTAGTGTTAGTCACAATGACGTTGAATAAAAAAAAGGAAGGAAGAGAGAAAAGAACTGTAACTTACAGTGTTGGCACTACTCTTAGAACTCTGCACGTGCAAAACAGACAAAAAAAGACAAGATACACAAAGAACACAGAGAGGGAAAAGGGAAGTTTAAACTGCATCGGCGATTAAATAAAAATTAAACTGTTTGAGTCAAAAGATTAGAAAGTTTCAAAGTAAAAGCAGATGTTAGTTAAGATTATGGGGTTGCTTTTCAAAGAAATCAAGATGTTCTCGATAGTTTATTAAGTTCACAAAAGTCAAAACAGACTTCTTTCTTTTTATTATTTGCTTTGATTCAACAGCAGCTAGCAAACAAAAACATACTGATTAAAAAAAATGAAGTTAGAACAACAGTGTTCAGGATTTATCGAGCAAATAAAAGCGCTGCAGTTCTCCCTCCAACCACAGGGGGGGAGAAGAGAGCCACTTACAGAAGGGGAGGTGGCGGCTGACAGCAGAGGCAGGATGCCTCCACAGGCGATGATGATGTTATCCACCATCTGAGAAATCAGGTGGATTGTGTTGTGGACGAAGATGATGTTCTCATTGCTGTTGACGAAGTCCATGACTGACTTAGTGGAGTGGCTACGATAAAAATAAATACAAGTTAGATCTACACTGGTGATGCAGCTGAGCTGAGACAAACCACCTCCCTATAACCCACCTCCTCCACATGTGCACATCTGTCTCCAGTGCAAAGAGCAGGTCGGTGAGCAGCCTCTGGTGCATCGGGGACCACTTGAATTCTGGGATGCGGAACATAGTCGTGCGCGGGCCAGGACTGAACTGACGTCGCTGCTCGTCGGTCATGGGCATGCCTCTGAAACCCAGGTCCACCCGCAGGTCTCGCTCCAGCTGGGCTGCAGTACGGCCGTGCAGGGCCTAAAAAAAAAACAAAAAAGAGGAAGACACTTAACCCACCTTGCCTGCTGGTGGTGGTCAGAGGAACTGGTGGCGTCTGTGCTCGAAAGCCTCGCCTCTGTCAGTGCGCTCCAGGGAGGCTGTGACTGCATTATAGCTCATCACCAGTGTGTGTGAACGGATGAATGGTACACTGTAGTGTAAAGCACTTTGGAGTCCTCTGATTCTGAAAGGCACTATACAAGTGCGGGTCATTTAACGTTCATTTATCAAGCAGAGGGTTGGATGGGCTTTCAGTGCATGTCTGATTGGTCTGACAGAAATCTACTCAAGCAAACAGTTACTAAGTTACATTTCACATTCAATGTTTGATCAAAGCTCAACTATTTACCTGACAAAGCTGAATAAAGGAAACATAGCTTGAACCAATCAGGCCTTTGGAGGGCATCTTTAGAAAGCTGGGGTGCAACTTGTGGCCATTATTGAACTCCCACTCTCTTTTCACGTGTCTGAGCGGAACCTCCCTGAACCGTCTGCAGGTGGTTCAGAATGCCTGTGCTCGGCTTCTGACCAAGTCCTCCAAACACACCCACATCACCCCGCTTCTCCTCCAGCTTCACTGGCTGCCAGTCAACTTCAGGGTTCATTTCAAGATCCTGGCTCTGGGTTTTTAGAGCCTTACATGGACAAGCACCATCTTACATTGGTGATCTTCTCAGTTCCTACACCCCCAGCAGGTCCCTGAGGTCCAGTAAACAAAGCCTACTGGTTGTGCAGCGCACCAGGCTAAAGAACAAAGTGCTGCTGTGGCCCCCAGACTCTGGACCTCTCTCCCCGGAGCCTAAAAACTCACCTGTTCAGGCTGGTTTTGGTGTGACCTTCATCACCATCCTCTTCTTATTCTGCTCTTTCTACCAATTCTCCCAGGATCCACTGATTTCCCTCTTCCTTATTCACTTCCTCTCTCCCTTTCCTTACATTTTTTAATCCCATTTCTAATTGTTTTCATTTTGATTTTTTAATTCATTTATTTATTTTTTTGTTCTTGTGAAGTGGCTCATCATTTTATCTTGAGAGGCGCTACATAAAAGATGGTTTTTCCTGTAGACCCAAAACACAAACAAACCTGAGTCGTAGCTGTAGTTTGGATCTTCTTTGTGTCCTTGTCCTTCCCATCATCTGACCTCTCTGTATCCGAAGTAGTGCTGGCCGTGTCTCCCCCAGCCTTAAGCCCCACACACTCCCCCTCCGCCCCAGATGGGCCCTCCCCCTCTGGGAAATCAGATCTTGAAGCTCCTTGGAGCTGGGTCTGGTTCTCAGCTTCAGCAATGGACCTGATGTCAGCAAGGGGGCTCTGGATCTTGAAGGGTCCATCCTCAGGAAGCTCCTCAGACGCGTGGCTTTGTGTCTGCGTTAAGTCAGAGCCACAGCTGGTCATGTGGGCTAACAGGCTGAGGTCATCACTGGCGCTGGAGTGGGCAGGGATGGTTTTTGATGAGGCAGGCTGGTCTGGACTCTGCAGCACAAGGGGGTCTGTGGCTGCCAGAGCTGGGAGCAGTTTCTCATCGACCTGAGGGAGATGAATGAGGGAACGCAGAGCAGAGAAGCATTAAGGCTTTGGAAAACAACAGCTGATACATCTTTTTGATCTGAGAGGAATAAAAAAAAAAACAGAGATGGCATAATGACGGACTAGTGAATCGATTCCAGGTCAGTAGGGGATGCAACTCTACTCATCAACATATCCATCCTACCTTGCTGAAGAGGAATCCGTTGTTGCTCGGAACGCTGTCTTTCTCATCGGCTAATGTGATGAGGGGACCCATGTTCCCATCATCCTCCATGCTGACTCCAGAAAGTCCCAGGCTTGTTGCAATCCCGACTCCTGAGCCCGGTGCGTCGTCTTTAGGCGCCAGATTCCCGTTTAGGTTCTGAACCACAGAGCAGTAAGCACTGTCCAAGAGAGAATCCACTTCCACCAGAGGTCCGTTTTCCATTCCAACTCCACTCCCTCCACCTACACCTCCACTGATGCCTTCTGGAGACAGGTCCAGGTCATCCAGTTTCACCTCTGTGGCTTCTACCTTTTCAGCTTTAATGTCTACTAGCAGGTCGTGGACCTCCACCCTGACCCCTGGACCGGCACTCGGCTCGCCGGGCATCAAGGCCTCCCCATTCGGTCGCTTCACAGCACATTCCGCCAGGAGGTTGCGCGAGTCTCCTCCGGCCCCCTCGCTGTACTCAGCCTCACTCTCGGGTGTCTGTGTCTGAGAGTTGTCATCGATCTCCAAGTTGCCGTTGACGACGGAGGCCGGTGCAGAAGAGAGGCCAGAAATTGTGGAAACGGAGCCTTTCTTTCCCTTCTTCATGTTTTCCTCCTCCTGACGCTGGTACTCTTCATACATCTTGGCTAAGTACTCCTTATGGGCTTCGTAGGTCACCTGTAACAGATGGTGGGATGCCTTTGGTAAAATGTTCAAAACACTCAATGAAAACAGTTTTCTTCAACATCAACAACCTCCAAGCCTAGAGGGGTGTCGTAGAACATCATACTAAAGAACAAATGAATAAAACTGGGACTAAGAGCCTGGCAGAGCGCGGCCATTGGGCTGAATCTCGCTATTGGACAGCGCTATTCAGAGGTGGACCGGAAATCTGGGAGTTCACCGACAAACGATGAATTATCGTCCCAGTCCGCCCCGGGTCGGGTTGGGCCTCGTTTGATTTTGAACGATTCCGATTCCAATTCCTCGTTTCAATTCCGGTTCCTATCGATTCCCAATCCTGATTCTTTGAAGACACGACATGTTTTACATGAGCCAGCTAACCACAGGTCCTACTTGATGAAATAATCTTAACTTCAACATGAATTTTAATTCTATGAACAACAACATCACCTTCATTTAGACAAAAACATGTTTTGGAGAAAGAAAGAAAAAGACTTGCAGCACAACCAGTGTGTTTGTTTCTGACCACAACCAAAGTCTGGAAGAAGCCTCTGGGATGAGAGGCTAAATGTCTCCAACATATCCAGAAACGTGCAGCTGTTTTCAGCTAAAACTCTCAGGATGATCATGTCCAGGATGACTGAGAACTACACCTCCATGCTGCAGCAGCTTTCAGTCAGAACAGGAAGTGGAACTTAAATGTAGCTGCTGTCGGTAACAATCTAACAGATTTTAAACATTAAAACTCTCAACAGAAATAGTTCAGAAAGGAAATTAAAATGTTCACAACTTTGTGTGAAATTTATTATTATTATAATAATTATTATTATTATTATTTATTGTGGCAGAAGCTGGTGTGGTCCACCAGAGAAGCTGCTCTAGCATGATGGTTTTAATTATTCTACAGGTTATTGTTCAGGCTTCTGACACACACACACACACACACACACACACACACACACACACACACACACACACACACACACACACACACACACACACACACACACACACACACACACACACACACTAGTGTGCATTTGACTGCTGGTGTGTTTTTATTTCTGCAGTGAGACAAACTCACCTCACACCGTCCAGAGTTTGTTCTTTAAAGCTTCTATTAAATCCACCGTGTTGACGTATTTTAACAAGTTTCCTCTACGCTGCAGAAGTTAAAGTTTACATTACGGGGTAAAAGTCGGCAGACGCGTTTGTTTATATCTGGGTGGGGGGAGAGGGGACTCGTGCTGCACACAGACAGCTGGTGTGATCAGCTCTGAAAAGCGTTGATCACAATTTGCAGATCACGTTTATTTTTCACGGAGATCGGCCGCGGATTCCTCTTCCGTCAGCATTCTAGGAATCGAAATAAAAAACTTTGAACGATTCTGGGAAAAACTAACAGCTGGAACCGGTTCCAATCGATGCTCGGTGCCCAACCCCGGGTGCCAGCAGGTCAGGACAACGAACAACGTAACATAATCATTGTTGTCAACGGGGCAGTCCGCCGTACACCGTCATAGAAGAAGTGCCTCTATCTGATCACATGTCCAAAATGACCAAAACTGCCATTTCCGAGCAAACGCAGCTCTAGCACTAAGCTCGCCTAACGTCTCTCTGAAAACAGAGCGCTGTGATTGGTCCGATCCAAAATTGGTCTATAGGCCTATGGTAGACCTGCAGAAGCTACTATGGAGAGTGTCGGTATGATTAATTCTCTGGGAAAGGCACATCAGCCATTCAGAGCAATTAGTCTATCATCTATAATGTCTTCTTCACTTAAATTTAAACTTTCTTCTCTTACCTTAGAGTGTGCAATGGACAAAGTGTCGACCCAGACCCTCCACCCGCCCCACTCGTATTTAATTGCATGGTAGAGCAGGATTCTGAAGATGTTGTACACCATCTCCGTTATTTTCTGCTCCTCCGGGTTCTTGGGGTTGATGTATCCGAGGGAAAACATCCAGTCCTGCCACACGGAGCACTGCAACAAGCAGCTGGTGCATAAACCACGACCATTAGATGTTAGATAGGGCGCAGCGTGAGTTTTGTCTTAAACATGCGACATGTGGTGGAATAAAAGCAGGCGTGTGCGTTTACCGTCGGTTCTCACGGCTGTTGCTGAAGAGTTTTATCATGTCGGAGAGAAAGAGCCTCCTGACTTCCATCAGCTCGGCACTTGGAGAGGAGTTCTTCAGCAGGGTGGCCACAACCTTTAGAATCACTGGGTGGTACAGAAAACATAATAAAGCAGGGAACCGTGAGAGAGCAGGAGAAGCTCCAGAGTGAGTATTTGCAGAGAGTGTCAGAGAAGAGTATTTCTTTACTTACTGGGATTCTGAATCTTAACGGTGGAGTCAGGCTCAGGGTGGGGTTTGTGAACCACCTGAGTGCAGACCTGCTCAGTCAGAATCTGCACACACAGAAAGTTTCATACACACTCGAATCCCGACTAACTCGGGTAAATGGGTTTGAACACGCTGTGAATGAGCCGTTGACCAATGAGCACATACCTCATACAGCGTGTTGTAGGTGGTGATGGAAACAGTGTTGGTGTGCATCATCAGCCTCTCTCCCAGCAGAGTGAACAGACTGTGTGTGTGCATGATCTCCACCTTCCTCCTGCAGGGGGAACCGGGACAGTACGGCGCATCAGTAACAGCTTCACGACTGACTGTCACAAACGAGATGCAGTCTTAAATTTGGAGGTGGCAGCTTTGGGCATTTATGACGAAATGTAACAAAGTCAGCACAGAAAAATTCATGAAACATATCAAACACTGGATCGGCATCCCTGACTTTGGAAATGAAGCATCTTACTTTGAAAACAGGAAATGATTGAATGTGGTTTTATTTCATTTTTAATATGTAATATTTTAATATGTAATCACCCCAAAACATTTAAAATCTTTGTAAATACTATATGAGCTGCTTTTGTTCTTCAGAAACACAGTTTTATCATGTAGACATCTCCACAACAGTGGTGCCCCCAAGGGGTGGCCAAGGGTGGCTAAGGGCCCCCTGGAAAATTGCTGCCCCCCCCCCCCCCCCCCAATAAGGCATATTGATGTTCGCACTAACCATACATTTATCTTCTGTAATCAAGACATAAATGTAAAACCCAATAAATAATTAATAAGTCAGTAAATAAATCAATCTACAAAATATTTATGTTGCTGCTGCTGCTCATCGTTTTCCACAGGAAATATAAATATTAAATGTTTTCAAGGATGCTTTTGCCACGATAGCAACGGGTGAATTAAACTATTTTAAAAGGTTAAAACTATAAATTTTAAAATAAAAATGATTGAAATAACGGAAAGGTTATTTTCTGGAATGTTTTAGTTTATCCAGAAGACTTTCACTGGCCCCATTTGGCCCCCCTATGAAAATTGTATAAGTGCACCACTGCTCCATGAACAGTGAAGACCTTGCAGACAGAAGAAGGAGCCGACAGGTATCAAACCTCGTCCTTAGTGTGTCATTAAAATCCATTATGATGCAATAACTGCCGACTACAAGAGGAATCAGACATTTTCAGTTGAATGTCATGTTTTCTTTTCCACAGACAGCACTTGTCACTCAAACCGTCAATATTTGTATTTATTTTTGAGAGAAAAGTGACTTTCCTGCCCAAAACATGTCATGCATGCTAGTGCTGCAGTATACCATGCACCCAAGTAATCCTGAATTATTTAGTTTGATCTTAAAAAAACTGAATTAAGATAAAGGTTACAGGATTCAACAGGTGCAAATAAAATCTTTGCATAAATTAAAGCGTGAATCTCAGATTCAGCTTGGTTTCTTTAAATATGCCCTTATTGCTTGCCATTGTCCTCTGCTTGTCTATTCTTCTCTGAAACACTCCTCAGCTTAAACCAAGTTCTTATCTAACAGCTCTGTGGGAATCACCTTGTTGGAGCAGAAATACTATTTTATGCTTGTCAAACTCCATTACTTTAGGCATTTTCACTGATGCAGCTAAAGAAATTGGAACAAATATTGTGTCTTTGCATTATTCTGCTAGTAGCAAATTGCCTAAAAATACAATTTAAATCAAATTTTCCAACAAGCAGCCTGTTATGTGTTTACAATTCTATATGAAAACAACCCTACTGGCAACTAAACTGAAGAAAATCACATTTATTTCCTCATTTGATCAAATTATTCTAAATAGATGTGAAAGATATTAAGCTAAGGCATTTTAATTTTCAATTAATAAAGAATATTGTAAGCATGTGTATGATTTAGAAGAAAAAAGTATGCTATGAATGTTAAAAACAATGTGGTTTATGAACCCGAAACCCTGCAGAAGGTTTGGTTGGACTAGACTTGAAGCGGGTGGTGATGGTGCAGGGCTCAGGTGCAACACGGCAGCCAGCTCCCATGTTGTGCACCAAAAATTGAGCGTGTCTCCTGAGACGATTAAATCTCCCAGAATTCACTGCAGCTCATCAGCTTCCTGCCAGTGTACACTGCCACAATGATTATTCTGCCTGGACGTGATGATAAGGACTTTGTTTGCACAAACAAACGGCTCTTCTTGGGCTCACAAGAGACAGAGATGATTTTCTTTCTCCGATCTGAACTGATGTTGTGGAGCCTCGCGACCTCCCAACAACTGTGAAATGTTTGTGTTTTGTTTCTTCGCTGAAAAACATAAAACGTTACCTGAGCAAAATCACAAGTGGCTCAGAGATCCACTTGTTCCTGACAGAAAAACAAAAAAGGGAGGAAATAAAGAAAAGCACAGAAGCAGAGAGAAACCCTTACTTGTGACCGAGGTGCTTCAGGAAGTAGCCGAGAACTTTGAGTGCCTGAACTCTGATGCTTTCACTCCTAGAGGCCAGGAGCTTGCAGATCACCCTGGAACATGACAAACACGCTGTCATTCATCTCTGAAACCTTAGGATTCTTTGTCAAACACAAGAAGGAACTTCATCTGGCGTGTGTTGATTATTCTAAAAATAATCAACACACGCCAGATGAAGTTCCTTCTTCACCAGATGGAACACAAGAGAAACGGGCAGAACACACCAGTTAGCACGCAGCTCTTTAGTAATAAGAGTTACCATGGCAACCAAAGAGACATTCAAGCCTACTTATGGATGGAAAAAATGACTTGCACGGTTAGATTGTGATCATCTTTAAATAAAACACCAATAGTTATCACCACACAAAGGTATAATTAAAGGTCAACTATTTCTTTATGAACTGTTAATATCATACTTGTTGAAAGTTCTTTAAAATGTTTGAAAAAATAGAGAATGGTTCTGACCAGGTTGACAGGCTAACAGCTAGACAAATAAATTCTAAAACTAAGGTGGAATATAGCTTTATTTTTGAAGGTTCTTTTCAATCATATTCAATAAACCTTTACACTGTTTACCACCGTTTCCATTATTTAAAGGGACAGTGTGTATTTTTCCCGGCGACAGGGGGCAGTAGATATGCAAGACCTTACCAAGGGATACCCATTAAGGTCAAAAAGCCCTGGGGAGTGCAAACTTTTGCAAAATAACAAGAACATCAGACTCCCTTTCATCACTGGCAACAAGTGAAGAGGTAAATGTGTAAAACAACATTTAAGAATGATTAAAGTTTTGTAACCGTTTGTTACTAATCAGTAAATGCATTTTGTCCTCATGGGCTCCCATAGAAGGAAACATGGTATGTAATATGGCGTCACCCAGAGACTTAGACCTGCTCCCATGTATTTTAGACCTTATTTTTATGGTTATGTGTTAAAAAGCCACTAATATTTTTCAACAACTGGACATAATTTCATTCTTTTTTAACAACATTTTGATGGATATTTCCAAAAATTAATGGTAAAAACTACACATTGTCTCTTTAATTGTTTACAGAGGTAATTAGTGGCTAACAGTGATATTTTTGTTTCACAGTGTAAAACTTTGTTTTTTTATTGTTAGTTTAATTGTTTTTGTGAAGCATTTTTCTATTTTATCTGTGAAAAGTGGAATTTAAATACATTTCTTCTTCTTTCTTCTTCAAATTCCAGACAGAGCTTTGTAGAAGTGCCTGAAAAAAACTATTCTTACTCATGAAGATTTGGAATCCATCCTGTCTAAAGGGCTTTATAAAAACTGACGTACTTCCGAACGTCCCTGAACGCATCGTTGCTGGATCCGTTCTGTGTGCTCCTACGCTGCAATCAGCTGAAATACGACACTTACCTTATATCCTGTGTGCGTTTTATGAGTCAAGAAGTCAGCTCCATTATGTTTTATAATGCTTAAATGGTGTTCTCCTTGTGTGTCGTTTCATGCCGACTGCACCAAGTATAATTAACACTTGTCAAGACTAATTAGTGCCTGTTGGTCTTCATGTTCTATGATAAATGTTACTGGTTTATCACTTTGTTGCTAAGAGAATCAATTCCAAATTGAATCGTCACCCCGAGAACTGGAATCGAATTGAATCGTGATTTGCTGCAAGATTCACATCCGTATTCATCCAACTCTTAATGCCCAGTACTGCCTTAAGCTGATACCAACACATGTAACCTAAATGTTTTTGAACGCGGTAACTTAACTTCCGTAAGTCGAACATGCAGCCAATCATCTAGTGTGATGTCATCGACAAGCGCAAGACCCCGAGTCAGCCAGAAAGAAACATGGCGTCCCCCAAAGACACTAGACCAGGGGTGTCAAACTCATTTTAGCTCAGGGGCGACATTGAGGGAAATCTAGTCCCAAGTGAGCCGGACCGGTAAATAAAAAAAAAACTTCAGATTGTTCTCTTTGTTTTAATACAATCAAAATAAAACAAGGCTGGAGGCTGAGGACAGTGTAGTACAAGTACAACACCTGAACTGTACTTGAAAATTTGAAGAAAAGAAAAAAAATCAACAAATTAAAAAAACATTCCTTAGTGATTCCAAGAGCTTACAGATCACATGGCTAGATCAGTTTCATGCAGCACTTAAAATATATTTGACTCATTTTACTTTACATCTTTTAGCTTTCACCAGCACATCAATATCAGAAGTCACATCCTGAGTGACGGCCATCTTCAGGATGTGATTCAAGTTCTTGTGTGAGCCTTGAGCGCAGCTTTGTTTTATTTATACTCATTACAGAGAAAACTTGCTCACAAAGATACGTTTATTTTCACTCTACATTGTAAAGTATGAAAAAAAAGTTTACACAACCATCTCGCGGGCCGGATTGAACCCGCTTGCGGGCCGGATCCGGCCCGCGGGCCGCATGTTTGACACCCCTGCACTAGACCCACGCTATTTGTACGTTAAACCAGATTTTATGGTTATATGTTACAAAGCTGCCATCATTTTATTCATTTTCAACGTTTCTATGGATTTCCAGACATTAAAAATTAAAATACACATAGAAAAAGTGTTTGGCCAAAACTTAAGCCTTGGATCTGTCATATTTTGACATTTTGCGAGAGAGTAGAAGAGTTTGGTGTATAATGTGTGCCTGGTAAGCAAAAGATAGTGTCATTAAATGAGTAAAAACTGATAAAGATCATTCCAGATCTTTCATTTTAATGCTAATATGGGACAACCCTAGTGTACACATTAAATGATCTGAACTATTTAACTGTGAGCATTGCTCTCAGGTCACAAGACCACCGTGGAAGGAATCCGAAAGAAGGTTGGCCATAAATTTTGTTTAAAAAAATAAGATACAGTGATCCCTCGCTACTTCGCGGTTCGTTTATCGCGGATTCACGACTTCGTGGATTTTTTCTTTGGAGCCTTATTCAAGGGAAATTCGCCGATTCGTGGTATTTTTCACCGATTCAAGGGATTTTTCACCAATTCGCGGTATTTTTCTATGCGAAATATCAAGAAATTCCTGTTTTTTTCATCAACTTCATCATAAAATGCACTTTTTGTAATAAAACTATAAAAAAAACCAAGTAAAAATACAGTACTATGTAAAGGGAGGGTTTTAAAAATCTGAATAATGAATACGTACCTGTTAAATAAATACTGTAAATATGGTGTCCCTACTTCGCGGATTTTCACCTATCGCGGCCAGGTCTGGAACGCATCTACCGCGATAAACGAGGGATCACTGTAAAAGCTATAAATTCATAAAGGGATTTTTTAATGTTCCTATTTCCAAAAGCCTGAAGGTGTTTTTAAGAGTTATATAGAGTAAAAGAGAAAGAAAATCTTTTTCATGAGAACGTGGATGTGTGGGCAGCATTCACCTTATGCCGTTCCTCTGGTCAAAAGCAGGGATCATGGACGCTGGATGTTCAGACATAAGAGCCACCAGCAGCTGGAGCACATCGTGGATATTCTCATCCTGTGAAGAAAAAGGAAGCAAAGTTGAACAGGTGAGGCAGCAGATGAGAAAAAAAGCCCGGAGGGAAAGATGAATAGAGGGCTAACAGGACAAAGAGAGAGTTGCAGGGGTGGGCACGGAGGGGGATTTGCAGAGGAGCAGGTGGTATTTCTGAGCAAGAATAGATATAATTGTTACAGAGGAGTACATTCTGTTCAGTCCATTATTGCGCCATTTTTTAAGCTGTCACAGCAGTGACGCTGACTCACACTCTCACTCGTTTAAGTGGACCATAACTCCGGCCCACGGATTAAAATGCACATTTTGCCACCAGCTTCACTCAGGCTTTCTCGCCCTTTACACTCTCGGAGACTTTTTAGTTGTTTAAAAAAATAATAAAAGCCTTTTACCTCATGCATGGTCAGTAGATAGTTAAGGATGCTCTGCAACTCGTCTTCCTTCACACCTCGGTCCTAGAAAAACAAATCATAGACCAAAGCACTCATGAGATTTTATAGTTTTTTACTTCTTATTAACCTCGAGTGACTTGAGACAGATGCATGAATCAAATCAATACGACTGCACACAAACATGAGCTGCAGCGCCTCATTCAGGTCGCTCAGCACCAATACGGTTTTCCGCACATTTTCAGATTGAGAAACAACAGAGATCATAAAAGTTGTAAAAAGTGATTTTCTGCAGCTTAAACTATGGGGATCGATTTCGCCCGCTTCACCTTCAGAATGAGTTGTTTGAGGAAGAGAAGCATGAAGGCTCGGAGTGAAATGACCTCCTTCTGGGTTGGCCGTGGTCCATCTGAAGCAGAAGAACAAAAGAATATTTTTCCTGTTAATTAAATAGAAAATAAAACATTTGAAAACCTGATAATGATTGGTTAGATCTGAATTTGTTTGGGCTTGCTCCCTGTTAGAACCACAAATCAGCCTCCTCTGCTCCAGGAGCGATTTGGCAGCGTGCATATTTTATGCTTGCACTAATCTAACTTATTACAGCAGAGACGCAGTAATATGCCAAAATAAATAAATAAAGAAAAGCTGATTGACTGTCTGAATGATCCAAAGCAAACTGTAATCCTGCTGTAACTACTTTGGAGCTGTGGCACTCAGTTGTTTGCCATAGAGCGCCACAGAGAGACGCTGAAAACACAAAAGCATCTGACGCATACGCCGAGCTGTTCCACATATCTGCAAGTCCTATTCTTTTGCTGTTCATTCAGTTGACAAAGGCCATCATTATCTTTTAACACGCGCTCCACGAGCCACAAGCAGCCACACGCATTCACAACCATCACAGCTTCGATCCTCGACTTTGTCGTTTTGTGAGACATCTCCACTCAGGCTCTGATGTGTTCTGTTGTAATTGTTTCACTCATTTTTAAGGTGTTTCATTTGCACACAAAAGAAACGTAAAGTTTTAAATCAACTATAAATTGTAGCTCGATAACTCACTAATGGAGTGAGGCACCACATAATTTAGACACCATTTTTATTACATAACTCCACATCAGCCAAATTCAAGTTTCTTTATTTTCTTAAATTTTAGAATTTCTGAGCAATACCAGCAATTAACATGTCTATTTATAGTAATTTGCGTCTTAGTGTTACAATAATCTAAGCTACAACAACATTCATACATTTTTATGTATAAATATGAAAAAAGCTAAATCAAAGGAAGTATTAAAGCTGCTGCCAGTAACAAATTAGGGTCACCATGGCAACCTTTGAGACACAGACATGACTCTTTTGTGAATATTGAAATTTATTTTAAGATACATTTCCTGAACTCACGTCAGACTGTAATGTTTTAAGTCAATGTTTTTAAACCTCTGGATGTAAGAATGTGTAGATTCACTGAAATACTGACTCGATTTCTACGAGCAGTGTATCGATTTTTTATTGAGATGTTACAAAAAAGATTTACTGTATTTCTTTTGTGTGTTGCAATTCAAACTCCAACTGCTAGTTGGCAGCAGTTTTTACTGACTTATTTCTGAAGAAACAACAAGATGTTGCGATAACAATGGATGTTATTGAAGCACCAGGCCTGAGTTTTCTTAAAAATTGCAAATATGTTCTGGCTTTTAGTATTGCTATATTTCTTATTGTCTCCCTATTACTGTGATATATATATATATATATATATATATATATATATATATATATATATATATATATATATATACAAATATATGATCTCACCTAGTTAGTGATGTTTATGATAAACATCACAAACAATAATTATCACATCACCTTCCCTGTATTGTGAAATTTATCACATCGTTGCTCCTGTAGCATGATATTTACCATATTTTGATATTTATCTTATCATCTCCCTTGTATTGTGATATTAATCATATAATAACCCCAATATCGTGACATTTACCATATTGTGTTATTTATCATATTTTGTGATATTTATCGCATCATTTACACTGTATTGTGATATTTATTGTATCATTGCCCCTGTAGCATGATATTTACCATATTGTGATATTTATCATATTTTGTGATATTTATCGCATCATTTACACTGTATTGTGATATTTTTCGTATTGTTGCCCCTGTATTGTGATATTTACCATATTGTGATATTTATCGTATCAATTCCCCTGTATTGTGATATTTATTGTATTGTTGCCCCCGTATCGTGATTGTTACCATATTGTGATATTTATCATATTTTGTGATATTTATCACATGATTTACACTGTATTGTGATATTTATCGTATTGTTGTCCCTGTATTGTGATATTTACCATATTGTGATATATTTACCGTATTGTGATATTTATCTTATCATTTCCCCTGTATTGTGATATTTATTGTATTGTTGCCCCCATATCGTGATTGTTATCATATTGTGCTATTTATCGCATCACCTCCCTTGTATTGTGATATTTATCATATTGTTGCCCCTGTATGTGATATTTACCATATTGTGCTATTTATCGTATCACCTCCCCTGTATTGTGATATTTATCATATAATTTCCCCTGTATTTTGAAATTTATTGGATCGTTGCCCCATATCGTGATACTTACCATATTGTGATATTTATCATATTTTGTGATACGTATCGCATCACCTCCCCTATATTGTGATATTTACCATATTGTGATATTTATCGTATCCCCTCCCCTGTAGTGATATTTATCGTATAATTTCCCCTGTATTGTGATATTTATTGTATCATCTCCCCTGTATTGTAACATTTATCATATCACTTCCCCTGTAATCTGATATTTATCCTATTGTTGCCCTTGTATCGTGATATTTACGATATTGTGATATTTATCATATTGTTGCCCTGTATCATGATATTTACCATATTGTGATATTTATCATATTGTCTCCCTGCATTGTGATATTTATCATATAATCTCTGTATTGTGATTTTTTATCGCATCACCTCACCTGAATTGTGATATTTATCGTACCTCCCCTGTATTGTGATATTTATTGTATGGTTGCCCCTGTGTAGTGGTATTTATCGTATTGTGATATTTATCTGCTAAAATCATGAAACCTAAAATATACATGTGTAAAAAAAGCCACAAAATACCAGTTTAGTCATGCAAAGTCCAACTTCCTGTGAGGCATTTAAACTCTGAATGATGTCTCTACTGAGATTTCTGTCGGAGTTTTAGCACTTCAAATGGGGCCGGGGTTTCTCGATAGTTTCACCAAAAAAACATAGGTGTGTGTGTGGAAAATATTTGCGTTTTTGGAAACCCCATTCATCTACTCAGCACAATGAACAATAGCTAAAGTTACAAAAAAAACACAATTTTCTACCTAATTGCACAATTTGGTGTAATTTTCCACAAGTTTTTCTAAAGCTTTTCAAGAGTGAAGAGTTTTAACAGAAATGGCATTGGCACAAATACGCGTTACACGCCATGTTAAAAGATTTGAGGTCATTTTTATTTCATGTACACCACAAAGCGACAGCAATGCAACTGGCATCGGTGTTGGATGGTCCTGTTGTAAAATTCAAACTGAAATATCAACAGCTAATGCTTAGATGAAAATAAAAGTGTGATTAAACTACTCTGTGTCCTCCTTTCTTGTGCTCTGGTGCCTCTGAATTACATTTGAGTCACTTCACCTGCTTTTCACAAAGCAAGAAACATGACACTGGAGTGGTCCGTTGCTATCCATCATCCTCATCTGTCAAGCTGCTACATGTTACCATGACAGCAGTCATCTATCACCGTTCTGTCTGAACCAGCAGACCTACGAATACTCCTGTTTTAGGGTCTTTTATTCAGAAAGGTCTCAAATAAGCTCACATTCATCTAAATTGCTTCTCAGGGGTGAGTTTAATCACTTGTCTTTTACGCCTGGAAATTAATTTTCGAGCTCTTATACTTTTAATCTGATTTAACAATTTAGTGGAGTAATTGCCACAAGAAATTGGATTTTTTTTCCTTCTTTCCCTGACCAGATAATGACACTCTGTAAGGAGTCAAAAGGTGCATTTAAACAAAAAAACTAATGATTAGACAACAGCCTCTGTTTTATATATTAAACCATGCTATTAATGATGAATAACATACATTTTTAAATATATTGATATATATTTTATTTGAATGCGATCTATAGGAAAATAAAACACGCTGGTAAAGATTTGACAACTAATTGGGTTAATTTCCACTGGTCTGTGATGAGATTTAGGAGGAAAAGCATCCAGCGGATTTCAGCGAGGCTTTAAAAGAAGACTGGGAGGGTTTTACTGCTTTGTGAAAGACTGTCTGGTCTAACGGTACAACAAGGTTTCATCACCTGAGGTCCTAAGAATCTTTAAAGGATATGGAGAAGGTGCAGAAATCTCCCCACAAAGGCTAACGCTGAAAACCAATCTTGAATGGCAGTGATCGCTCAGGCCCTGGGGCAGCGCTGCATTTAAAACAGATGGATTCTGTGTAGGGACACTTCAGAAAACCTCTTCAATGAGCAGCTTGACATTTCACCCACAAATATGAGCTAATACTATTTCTTTGTTTTGTCTTTTTAGGGTAAAAATGGACTTAGGTTAGGGAAAATGTCCAGAATTTGATGAATTAATACTGTTTGGAAACACCATTTGAACCTGCGTCCATCGTGATTTGGAGATCCGTTCGAGAAGAAGGATTGGGTAGGGGACTCCGTTAGCAAAAGGGGCCAGAAAAGTACTTCACTTTAAAAATGTTTGGTCTCCTGAGCTAACATGCTAACTAAGTGTTCGCACAGAAGATGGTGCAAGGTGGTGGTAAAAACCCTCTGGTGCGGCTTTTTTAGGAGCTTCAGAATTTAAAATGTGTGGTTTTGTTTTTCACTTTTAAAATCAAAACATTTCTTCTGATTATGTTGAATATGAAATCATCATCCTGGAGAAATTTGTATTTAAATAATTTAGAAACTACTTGATTTACTTACTTATTTATTTTTGCAGCCCGACAATCCAGCGAGACCCCCCCCCCCCCCCCCAATCAAGTAGTTTCTGAACAATTCGAATTCCATTATTTGTTTTATTTTGTTCAAAATCAAGACAGTAAAATAAAACACCAAAATGAATGAATGAATAAATATAAAATAAACTTGTGTGAATAATTAAAAAATTCAGATTTATTATTAGAATTTTTTAATTATTCACACAATTTTATTTTATATATTTTTTTTAAATTCAGATTTATTATTTTCCAACTGTGGACCCACCACCCGCAAGAGGAACATGAAGGGTCCGGTGCAATGTGGATCGGGTGGCAGACCATGGCGGGAGCCTTGGCGGTCCGATCCCCGGACAAGAAAACTAGT